TTTAACCATGCGTGCTCTGAGGGCATTTGGTCCGAGAAATGTATGCTTAATGTTTAACATCGTGCTATATGTTATCATCAATGAATGTTTTCATGAACGTTAACAATGAAAGCGCTGTTTGAGACGATGATATAACAAATAGACAAACAAAACACCTCCTTACAATACGATACAATAGCCCTCCAGTGAATATACAACTCTGTGAAGTTAATTTGCTCCACCTATTATGTGTGTTACTCTTTTCCTTTTCAGTATTGCAGCGCTTATGTCTTTCATAGTTGCTATTTCTGTAAGCTGCCTTACTTTAAACACCAACTTATACAAATAACGATGCTCTGTTAAAACTGGAAACATAGGCCTACTGTTTATAGTGTTGAAACTCACACTGTAGTTGTAATGTTTAGTATCAGTTACAACGTTGAATAACCTTGTCATGTGGCAAGGAGTTAAGTTGCAAAATTCACACTAGGGTGCCAAACAATGAAGAAATGCATTAAGAAACAGGAACTGTGTGTGGCTAAATGCATGCTTGTAGTGGTAAAAAAACTAACCCCAAAAAACAATGCATCCTATTGTCTGCAAGTCCTGGGTGTCCTTATAAGATATCCATTTTTGTTTTAAAGCCCATCCTCCTGTTTAGCCTATATTTGTATTCAGGGTTGTTAGTTCCCTTTGAATTGGCTTTGTTATGAATCTATACTCTAAAGACATACTGTCTCTTTTTTAATTGCAAATATTGTCTCAAATGGCAGACCACCAACAGTTCACTTGATTAAAATATGTGTTTATTAGCAGTTGAGATCAGAAATGGCCATCAAAATAAATCCACACCCAAAAATCTACGTTAATTAATTAAGCCTACTATAGAAGCCCACCCCATGTATGTGTGCTACTTGTCAACAGCACTCAGCTGGGTCCCTTGTGAATTCAATATCACATTTATTATGGACTGAACTCTGCCCAAACAATTTAATGGCTGGGTGAGCATTAACTGTTCTGTCAAGACCTTTATAACCAGTAGATGGCGCAAATTATAAAAACAATTCTCCCTTGTATTGCACAAAGCCAGACAGCCAAAAGGGACAAAATGGGCGAAAACAACTTTATATATAAAAACAATCCCTCATGTACATAATTTATGCATCATAAACTGCATGAATCACTGTAGCTTTCATGTACTAAAATGTGAGTTTTGATTATTTTCCAGAACAGACCAGGGAACCTGATGGGGATACTGGGAATAAAAGGATATGGGTAAGAACTACTAGTAAGGCACTGTTACCTTCATAAGTGAAACAGGGTTGGTGAGAATAATTTAAAGATAGCTAAAATCATGGTTATATCCATCCATTGGGAAATGACATGATGATACCACTCTTGTACAGTAGGTGGCGGTCTACACCTTTAAATTGTTTGCGATCCGCCAATAAAACGAAAAGAGAAGAAGATGAAGGACTGACCATAATTTCCATAGATATATATAAACACTAGATGGCTCATGGGAGATTTTCCAGCGTAGCTCACTGGCCGCCATCTTGCTACAGTCAACAGCTACTCTGGTACGCGCTATGGTAGCTGTTGTAAGGTGAGTGATCTGCACAAAAATACTCTTAACTCGCTGAAATCTTGACTGATTTACAAACGGTTTGGTTTATTATAAACATTATTAGCATGGCTATGATACAGGATGCTTGGACATGTTGAAATAGCAGCTTTTCTTTGTGTATGTGTGGTTGTATTTATTAGCTGGCTAATAACAAGAGGCTGTGAGTGAGACCTAGTATTACAAAGTTGACCAAGAACCCGTGGAATCACCTTTCACGTGTAAGATATGACAATATTATGACTATAATTAGGATAATCGTTAATTACGTAGTGGATGTATGTACATTACAAGTTCTGCTACACAGGATCAGTGGGGCTATGTGAGATAATAGTATTGCAAGATTGTTGTTGACCCAGCCTCTTTAGAATATGTTGATACCATTTCTTTACACAATTATTTAATGTTTCTTTTGGACACCTTTTTTATAACTCTTAGTGTAGTTGTCTTATTCTTAAAGTATACATACATACATACATACAATTACCCCAAAAATATGATAATTTCGGTGTGTATTTTTGTCCTTACCCTTAATGTTAAAGGAAAGAAGGGAGGAAAATGTTGACAATAATTTATATATCTGGCTACCTTTCTCATGTTTTTAAGGTTTCCCAAAACCGGAGAGAGGAGGAGGCAGTGGGAAGTTGCCCTAAGAAGGCAGGACACTGCTCTGCAGTGAGCACTTTAGTTGTGAGGACTTTGACAGGACGGGGCAGACTGTCCGGCTTAAAGATGGTGTTGTGCCAACAGTATTCAACTTCCCAGCTCATCTTCAAAGGGTATGTGTATCATTGGCCAACAAGAATTCAAGGTGTATAAGATTGGTATATAAATATGTGATTAAATGTCACACTTTAGTTTTTCTTTCTGCAAGTTTAGGAATAAATAATGTGTTGTGTATTACAGCACATTTTAAACACTCAAAATGTCTTTAATTATGTTTATTTTAGCCGGAAGCAACAAGAAGCACAACCACTTCAAGAAGAGCGGAAGATGAACCTCAGCCTAATGTTGTGAGTATTCTGAATGTGGCCAAGACCAGAGAGATGGTCATTGATTTCAGGAGGGTGAGGACGTCTCCTCCTCTACCCCTGTGCATTCTGGGAGAGGATGTGGCTGTTGTGGAGGACTACAAATACCTGGGAGTGCACTTAGACAATGGGCTGAACTGGAGGATCAACACTGACGCTGTGCACAAGAAGGGGATGAGCAGACTCTATTTTCTGAGGAAGCTGAGATCCTTCCACGTGTGCAGCAAGATGCTGGAGATCTTCTATCAGTCTGTTGTGGCTAGTGCACTCTTCTTTGCTGCGGTCTGCTGGGGGGGCAGCATCAGAGCCGGTGACACCAGCAGGATCAATAAACTGATCAGGAAAGCTGGGTCAGTCATCGGCATCAAGCTGGACCCCTTTGAAGCTGTGGTGGAGAGGAGGACACTGAACAGGCTGTTGTCCATCATGGATAACCCCATCCATCCTCTCCACCTGCAGCTGGACAGTCAACGGAGCTCCTTCTCCAACAGACTGCTGCAGCTCCACTGCCATAACTCTGTACAACAAATCACCTCTGGCTGGAAGATAACTCTGCTCCATAGTTTATCTTGAATATTACCACGTTGTACATTTTACACATATATAATCTGTTCAATATTTAATGGTGGGGTAGGTAAGTTTGAGAAACCGGCTCGAGATACACTTTTTGTTATATTCCATGGAATGCTCTTAACATCCTGATAGCAATGAATATCTGAAGTGCTTTGACAAAAAATCCATAAAGAAATATCATCTGTGGAAGCTGTAGTACTGTAAAAAGCACGACCAATCATCTGAGCCGGCCCGGCTAAAGTAACTAGATGGCCTACCTGCCTGTCAGCCTTCCATCTGTGCACAAACTTATCTCGTGCCCTCATTGGTCATGTGCGTGTTCGTGTGTGTTGGAGGAGGGGCTCTGTGAGGAAGTGGCAGATTTTTTCTGGCTGTGTATTTTCAAATTCTAGCGATCTCGAGCTGGTTTCTCCAAAATTACCTACCCCACCTTTAACATTAATATTCCATATGCCTTATATTTATGTATATGTATATTAGATATATATAATATCCTGCCAAACTCAACATGTATATTATTTTCCTCTTTCTTTATTTTCTTTATTTTTCTTGCTTATTTCTAATTTATTGTAAAATGCCTTTTCCCTTATGCTGCTGTAACTAAAAATGTTTTCCCAAATTGGGATCAATAAAGTACCATCTTATCTTATCTTATCTTATTTGCATGTGGAATGTCACTAACAAATGAGAGCATCATATGGCTTGTCATATTAAATCCTTTATCTCGGTGGTACCCAGGAAGGTCTATGATGGTGTTACTAGGAGAGCGCAATATCATTTGAGGTGGTACCCAGGAAGGTCTATGATGGTGTTACTAGGAGAGCCCAATATCATTTGAGGTGGTACTCCGTGTAAAAAGTTTGAGAACCACTGGCCATCTCACTTGCTCTATGTCACTCATACACTTGAATAAACATGTGCAAACATTGAAACTACACCCAGGGGTTGGCAACCTTTACAATCAAAATAGCCATTTTTGTCCAGAGCCTCAACACATATTTTTGGATTTAGTGAGATATCAGCCGGGGTAAGACAAACAACAGTAAATGGACTACAGAAGGACACAAAATGACTACAAGAACTCAGCGCACCGTGCTGTGAAGTGGTAACGTATTTCAAAGGTTCTGGATTTGTTTACAAATCTAGAAACTAAATACAAAACTAGGACGATATGAAGATCTCATGTCAAAAATAATTGTGATAAATGAGACAGAACTGGCCTGTCTGTGGGCTCATTTTATGTTGGTTTGGTTCTTCTGATAAAGGTGTGAATATCTAAATAATATACCACCATATGCTATTGTCATTAGTTGTGTCCCTGTTCTTCAAGCTAAGGCATTGCTAAATTAACAACTCTTGGCTTACAGAGTGGTAACATGAGACCGATTTTTATATATAAAATATAAATATATTTTAATTTTATAATTTATTTTAAATATTAACAATATAATAAAATAAATGGAAATATATACACCGGCAAATATTTAATATAAATACCTTGTGTGTGTGTATAGCTATTGCTTTATCTGCTTAATGTTATTTTCATATGAAAGTCCATGATTATAAGTATGCAGTATCATAACTACATCTTTGATGTTTATAAAAAACCAAACCGTTTGAAAATTGGTTGAAAATTGAGCAAGCTATGGTTATTTAAATAGTAAACCATAATGTTATGAATGAGAGCACTGCCTGTACCAAGATGGCGGCCATGTGGCAACGTCGGTCTCCATTGGCCAGCAGCGCGGGTGAGTCATCTAGTGTTTATATATATCTATGATAATTTCCACCTGATCACGTGACACACTTAGCTAATCGGTGATGAACAGCAAAATGGAGGTGAGTTTTCGCAAATGTTGCACATTAAATACGGTTCTTTAAAATGCATTAAAGCAACGCTTACTCTACAAAAATATGTATAACAGTGACGAATGAATGCAAGGTGTTGTGTTGAAACGTGATGCTTTTATGTTGTTTAAACGTTGACCGAAAGTCATCGCAGTTTAAAGTAGCTAGCCTTGCAGCTAAGATAAGATAAGCTAATGGTGGTAAAAAACAACCAAAAGCTCTGTTGTGTGACAGTTTCATTTGACTGTTACATGAACGTTGTTGTTGGCTTCCTTTGACACGCATTTTCTCAATATAATTAATAGATAAATTGTGTTTTTGGTTATAACGCAAGGCTCAACCTGCAGCTTTACTAAAGTAAGCTAACATAAACGCTAACGTCATTGCTGAGGCCCGTCAGGCTAACCCAGCTGTTGTCAACTGTAATCATTGTTAAAATAAGTGTTTGTTCGTGCACTGTTTTTTTTTGACAACTTTATTTTACACTACAATGATATATTCAACATTCAACATAGCGCAGTCTGTCGCTTGAATGGTGACGGGGGAAATAAAAACAATGTATTAGCGATATTTGTGTCCATTTATCAATCCGCGAGAGAATCAGAATCCAGTTTATTGCTAGGTACGTTTACACATACAAGCAATTTGCTTTGGTGTATGGTGGTGCTAACATAATCAACATAAGGAAATAACTTCTAACAGAAAAGGTCAAAAATAGTACTACAATAAAAAAGAAAATATTAAATAACTGTTGAAAATAAAAATAATTATGGCACGTTTTACACCAAATGTAAATATACAAAATAAACTAAAAATACAATTAATAAATGACAAGCTGCAGTATATTATATTTTACAGTTTGTTTGCAGGGTGGGAGGGCCACAATCTTCCCAGTAGAGGGTAGTAACTTCATCCATGCAGTAGTTATCTTATACTTATTTCATGTAACACTATTTACAGCGGCAATTATATATTTTTCTTGTTATGCCTTTTTATAGGAGCGTGAAGCTAGAGAACCTGAGCAGCTCAGAAAGCTGTTTATTGGAGGACTGAGCTTTGAAACAACCGAGGAGAGTTTACGGGCTCATTTTGAACAATGGGGAGCTCTTACTGATTGTGTGGTACGTATATTTTCTGTTGTTATGTTTGGCATTATGGCCTCTACAATAAGAAACCATATTCATTTTCAAAGCCACCATCTTGTTAAACTGTTATCACTACCATTGTGTATGTCTTTGTTTTTTCTAGGTGATGAGGGACCCTAACACCAAGCGTTCAAGAGGGTTTGGCTTTGTGACGTATGCGGCTGTAGAAGAAGTCGACGTTGCCATGGCAGAAAGGCCTCATAAAGTGGATGGTCGTGTTGTTGAACCCAAGAGGGCCGTGTCCAGAGAGGTAAACAAATCCCTGTCCTGAAGGCAGAAACTACAGCCATGTTGGTGTTTGTTGTGTGCTTATTAATGCTCTCTGTTTCAGGACTCCAATAAACCCGGCGCCCATCTGACCGTCAAGAAGATCTTTGTCGGTGGGATCAAAGAGGATACCGAGGAGTACCACATCAGGGAGCATTTTGAGAAATATGGAAAGATTGAATGCATTGACATCATAGAAGAGCGCTCCACTGGGAAGAAGAGAGGATTCTGCTTCGTCTCCTTTGAAGACCATGACACTGTGGACAAAATAGTTGGTATGTGTTTAGATTTTAGAGTTAACACAGCTTTCAGGCAACATTTAGTAATGGTATGTAAGTGTATTGTTCTTGTTTTCCTCACAGCCCAGAAATTCCACACGATCAATTTCCACAATTGTGAGGTCAGAAAAGCCCTCTCAAAACAGGAAATGAGTACTATGTCCACCAGCAGGGGTAAGCACACCATAAATATATTCCTAATGAACATTTAATTATAGTCTTTTCAGCCATCAGTTCATTGATGTTGTTAAAGGTAGGGTAGGTAAGTTTGAGAAACCGGGCCGGCTAAATGATTGGTCGTACTTTTTACAGTACTACGGCTTCCACAGATGAATTTTTTTTATGGATTTTTTGTCAAAGCACTTAAGATATTCATTGCTATCGGGATGTTAAGAGCATTCCATGGAATATAACAAAAAGTGTATCTCGAGCCGGTTTCTCAAACTTACCTTCCCTACCTTTAAGGGTTCTAAAATGACACATTTGTACATATCAGACAGGAGTGGAGGATCTGGAAACTTCATGGGAAGAGGTAATTTTGGTGGTGGTGGCAACTTCAATCGAGGTGAGTAATTGAATGCCAGATTAAAGTTTCTCTGGCACTAATTACACAACAGCAGATGCATTTAATAGGGATGTGTACGAGGGAGAGTAGGTTTCAGGATCTAATTTGTGCCACCACACTGACGCACTAAAGAAAGTGAAATGGTTGTATCTCTTCCTTTTTTTTAATGAATGTGGCGTAGCTATAACTATCTGGTAAAACTGGTTGCTCAGCTTGGTGAAAGAGCTGTTTTCAAACTTAATGTATCAGTATTGATTTTCATGTGCAGTTGCCATGCCTTAGACAGAGTTTCCAAAATACAACACAAATCTACAATACAGTTCTTCAGCTTAATGCATTACTCTATTTTACACTTGTGTTTTAGGAGGCTATGGTGGAGGACGAGGCGGTTATGCCGATTTTGACAATGGTGAGCTTTTTAAGAAAAAAAAAGAATCTACTTTAGGATGAGGCGAAAGGAGTTTTATGTTAATGCCAAGCATGAGCTTTTCATGTCACAGTGATGAATATGAATTATAAGGTTATGTTGTAATACGTAAGTAAGTTTGCTTCGTTTTTGACTGTTCCAGGTCCAGGAGGTAATTATAGTGGAGGACCAGGTTATGGAGGTGGCAGAGGGGGCTATGGAGGTGGTGGTCAAGGGTATGGCAACCAGGGAGGTGGATATGGTGGAAACTGTGATGGAGGATACGGAGGCAATGACGGAGGTAAAATAACATTTAAAAAAAGGTGTTGAGAATTGTGATTTGTTAAACTAAGTTTTAGATATTAGACAACTGGCTGTACTAAACACCAGATTTAAAGACTTACCTTTTAACATGGACATTTATTTTTCAGGATATGGAGGAGGGGGAAATTACAATGACTTTGGAAATTATGGTAGCCAGCAGTCCAGCTATGGGGCCATGAAGGGAAACAACTTTGGTGGCAGAAACTCAGGTGCACCATATGGTGGTGAGTGTTACCACCCGACTCTCAAAATCAAGCATTTATTGACATAACATAATTTCTGCTGAAAAGTATCCAACGTATTTTGCGGGTACTAATCTTTAACTGCAGGTGGCCATGGATCCGGTGGAGGGGGCGGCAGCAGCAGCAGCAGCAGCGGCGGAGGAGGAGGGGGCTATGGCTCTCGGCGATATTAATTATATCATGTTTTGGTAAGTTGCATTCAGTTCAACAACACACTCGTAGCACAGTACAGAGTGAGCCCTTGAAAGTGCAGATTAACTATTTGTTCTATCCTGTATCCATTCAACAGGCTTCAGTTCTTAGCAGGAGAGGCGAGGAGATGAGCAAAGGAAATGTCAGGAAAGCCGCAGGTTACTTTGAGGCAGTCATCTGAAAGCATTAGAGGAACACTCAAGTCAGACATTACTGCAGCTAAATCGGAGAAGTTTATGGAAGAAGGACTGTATACACAAGACATGAGTGCAGATGATACTCCTCCCTAATTGTGATAGATGTTTCCCTACCCAGCTATTTTTTTTTTCTTCTGTGTGTATATTGTGCCTATGGTATCATGGGTGAAGAGAAAATTGTTTTCTTTTTTTAAAGTCTGAAGTCAGATCTTTATCTTTTTTTAATATGACTTTCTGTTGGTGAATTAATCTTGTCTTTTTCTGTCATAAAATAGTTAAATCAGGCCTTCAGCTAGAATGAGCTAGAATTACAATTTTGTTTTGTTTCTGAAGTTATTATGATTGCTCATTTGCAAGTGTCAAGTGTAATTTTTTTTTTTTATGTGAAGCACAGTATGTACATCCTTAGTGTAACCAGTGTCAACAAACATAAGCAATCTGGATTAGAATCAAGGGAATCCCTCACTCTTCTTTTTCCCAGCACACAGAATTTTAGATTGTTTGGATTAGAAGAAAAAGACCGAATAAAATTGTTTAGTAAAGTGACAAGAGGTTCAGTGCATCATTGGTCCAGAAAGAAATCACATGAGTTATTTATCTGTTGCCTGCACACATTTTGACTGTGAAGTTAGACAAATTCGCCTGTCCAGAACCACTTCCTCCTCTTTTTGGGGACTATTTAAGACTTCTATGGGTGAAATTGTAAATATACTGTATTTATTTGTACAAATGTCAATGACAAGGAAGTTTCTGGTAGTCCTAGGGCAAAGGCCCATACACCACCTATGCCAGTTTTGAGCGTGTAGGATTATAACGGCCACAAGCACCTGCAGTTGAGCCTTCAGCATCGCTAGTGTGGAAGATTGCAGATGACTGTCAGACAGGACGTCTGCAGCCCCCGCACAGTGGACCAGTCAGCATTTTGAGAGACAGAGAGAAGGCAGCATCGAGCACAACGCCCATGGAGGAAGCTTCTGATAGTGAGCGTCTATCTCTGTCAAGGCTAGCTAAACCCTCCAGCAGCTGGTGCTAGCGAAGAAAGAATAGTTCCTGGACACATTGGAGATCCTGTTGAGTCAGAGATACTGCAGTTTTACCCGAAAGTGCTAGATTTCAGACATTAACGAGAAAAGGGAGTGAGTATTTCACAAAAAGCTGACTTAAGAAGATGAAGCAGGTAAGAGTAACCACTTTGCTTGATTTGCAGATGTGGAAAAGAGGAATTCTCTTCTTGCTGAAAATCTGTAAAGACCTGATAACATGGAAGGTTCTGGATGGGTAAGACTTTTTTTCAAAATATTATCAAAGGCTGCTCATTATGTAATCTAACAGCGCAAATGGTAATCACACCAGGTGCAAAGGTTCTTTTAAGGTAAATGGAGCAGGAGCTCTTCAGGTATTGTTCCTCTTTGACCTGAATCAGCCTGTGACCTTCACCACAGCTGGGCATATCGTGCAGGCAAAATATGTTTTATTACCTTTGCTATCAGTCAGTCCTGATAAAGTTCATGGTGCTGAAACATCCTTAAGGGAAAGCAAATGAGCATGCTCAGGAAAGAAACAATATTTACACTCCCTGGCCACTCTATTAGGCACACCTATATTAAACAATATCACAATTCAATACAGCAGATCTACAATCAACTTACCTCAGTGTTAAACATATTCAATGAACAGCCTTGAGGTGATGTAAAAACTCCATTGAAAAAAAAGTAGATGGCAAAACAGTTTTATAGATTTGCATTATATTCTATGGATGTACCTTTTATAAAATGGTCAGTGACCATTGTCGATATCAATGTCAAGCAATCACTTGAATCCTGCAGTGCTAATGCGCTTGGCAGTCTGTAAATAAATCTACGCATAGCAGATTTTTAACTCTTAAGTTAACTATAATTACTGCAAAGGCATGTCATAGAAAATTAATGTATATAAAAAAGGGCTGGTAATCAGCACGCTTATAAGCTGATTTTAAAGCCATGTGAAATGTCTAAAAAAGTCTGATGTCAACTCAGGAGCATAAACACTTAAAAACAAAGACAATGGTTTAACTTGAAGGCAAGTTGAAAAGCAAATGTATTCAAAAATACTCTTAGTTGTCACTGTCAAAGGAATAGTGTAGATAAATCTTACCTTTTAGCTTAAAAGCTTTTTCAGTAAAAGTACTGAATATTTAGCCCCCGCGAGTTCAAGATAAGTTTGGAGTTTCAAGCTAATCTTATAAGGTTTGCTTAACATAAAGGGGTAATCCTGTACCCCTTTAAGCAGGTAAAACAGTATGTTTAAACATTCATTCCAATTACAAACCCTTGTACGTTATTATATTTACACAATGCATAGCTGTCAACGTTTATTTAAATGAATGTTGATGTAAAATCAATGTCCATCCATTGAGATGTGACCGACATAATTGATGATGCAAATATGATCTTGTTCAAAATGAATGATACATGCACTCAGTGGATTCCACGCAGGTCATGTCTACTCGATCTAAGAAAATGAAGAAACCATGCCTGTTGTTTCTCAATCAGTTAAGGGATAGTGTTTCTGCAGAGGAATGTAGAATAACCAACTCGCCGAATAAAGACGTGCTTGGCAGAAGCACCCCAGAGTCGGTTAACTATGTTGGCTAACCTGTAAAATGTGTAAAGTTTGACTTATGCTCTTAAAATAAAAATATTTTTCATGATTTGAGTGTTTTATTTCTGTAAGCCATATACTGAGCTGTGCATTCCTGTTTGAACTGTTGTCAGTGGGAAACTGTTTCTATATTCACAGCCGGCCTTGAGTCTCACCAGTTTACCTTGCCACACAGCCTCTGATGTTTGTCATGAAAGCAGTAAATGGGCTTGGTGATCAAAGGTGGTGTTTGTGTGTGAGAGTGCATGTAGAGCACATAGTGATTGCGTAGGCTTTATCTTTGAATATGCTTGTACGGGTTGGCCCTTTGTGAAGTTGTCATGGCTCAAACAGAGCATACTATGCTGTGGCTCCACAATTGTACTCTTTGTTGAGTCACAATGAATGCAGTGGGTGTGATTTCTTGTGCGACTGGAGTTTCACAGTATTAAAAGATTTAGGTTTCTGTACAAACAAGCTTGCTCTTAAAAAAAGAAAACCAAGCAGATTGTAAAAGTGGTTTAAGCCAATAACTCGTTCAGTACAATATTTCTTTTCTTTGCTTCTTTTTAAACCCTTGGGTGAGCCTTCAAGTCACGAACTGACTTGAACATGTGGTAAGTTATGCAATCATTCCTTAGACTATGGATCCATCTGGCATCAATCTGTTGCACACCACACAATGTTCTTTGAGTAAATGGGACGCTTTATAGCTATAGGAATTCTTTATTGAAAAGCACAGAAGATTTTATAAAAGAACCTGGGCAGCAAATCATAAAAGGGACAGTTATAAAATATGAGTAACAATGATTGAAACAATCATTTAGCATACAGAAATATAATATATACAATATATATATATACACATACAGTAACAGTTTATCAATCTCAAAAGCAAGTAATGTTTATATTTACAAATAATATTGGTTAAAGAATCTGTTGAACATATCAGAGTACAAAAGAAGTAAAATATCAAAAATATTACAACATTCAAGAGAAGTGCGCAAAAACTATACAATAGTTCTGCTGAGCTACTAGTGCTTTAAAGCTTTACGACTACAAAGTTATTGCATAGTATTACTATGATAATGCAGTACCATATTACAAAGGAGAGAAGAGGTTGTCTTCAGTCTTGATGAAAGTCTTTTTGATGCGAGGAACGAGGAAGACGCTGCCGTCAGTGGACTGCTGGAGGGAGTATTCGGAGGGAGAGTAAGAGTTCCCCTTCTCATCTCTCAACATGCTGAAGACCTCCAGGTACAAGCTGTTGAGTTGCTGCTTCATCTCCTTCATGTTTGTGATGTTCTCGCTCTTCTCACTCAGCAGAAGCTCCTTCTCGTCCTTCAGTGAGTCCAGGTTGCTCTCCAGACCCACTATGTTCTCCATCTTGCGTTTGCGGCAGTTCTGGGCAGCGACCTTGTTTTTGCCGCGGCGGCGTATGTCTCGGACCAGGGCCAGCTGGGCCTCATTCAGTTCGTGCTTTGACATCAGCTCGTTGAAGTCATCAACAGGCAGATTGATAATCATGCTAACCGTGAAAGGGATTTTGAGGGCTTTGGCCCTCTGCTCGTCTCTAGAGAGACGTACTTCCGAGCGTTTCTTCTGCTTGTCTTTGGCGAAGGGGGTGCTGTTATGCCCGCCATCCTCTGCTGGGTCCGTCCTGTGTTGTTTGGGATTCTTCTCCTGTTGTGTTTGCCCTAGCGGTGCGGACACAGAAATTGCCATCTGATGATCATCAGGTTGGAAATTGAGTGAGAACATCTCTGAGTAGTCAGATTCTGCACTTCCAGGATTGTCATCCATCTCATCCATGTCTGAATCGCTGTAACCATAGGAGTCATTGCCATACACAGACTTCCCAGGGGAACTAGCATTGGGGCTGGTGTTTGAAGAGATTCCTGAATCCGAGTCTGGCAGTTCTACCATTAGATTGTGTTTACCTCTGTCAAACGCATCTCCTGGTGAAAGGCTGTAAGGGTCCAATGGGGTGAAGAAAGGCTTGTTTGGGATATCAGACATGGCATTACTTTCATTTTCTTTGAGGCCATGTTGACCACTGCTCTCTTCCAGAATGACATCGGGGTAGTATATCTCACAGAAGCCTTCAGCAGTTAAATTAGCATTTAACTGAGGAGCGTTTGCCCTTATCTGGCCGAGATTGTCTGCTGGGGCCAAATTGTGAACAGAGCCATCAAATGTATTCATAAACTCAGCAGGGCAGACATTTAAACTGTTGGTTTTGTCTGTGAGATTGGTCATGGGGTAAAAACTGTAGTTTGGATTCTGAACTTCAGGGCTGTTTGGAAGTGGATAAGTTGTGGTCTCAAGTGTGTCCTCCATCTGCATGCTCAGGCATTGCTGGAATACAAGATAAAGAACCATTAAAACAAAAACATTAAATGTTTCATAAATCTGCTTTGTTGACAATGCAAATATTGCTTGTGTTGTTGTTGTTGTTGCATATATAATATGTACTGACTGACATAAAAGCATACTTAACTTATTATCTTCCCAAATAATATGTTTTCAGTCTTGGGGGCTTTAAGTTGACTAGTATTTCACTGACCAATGCTAGTAGCCAATTGGTCAAATTTATACGAAATCACCAATACCAATCTCCCACTTTGCTGTTGCTGTGAAGTTACACGAGTACATTATCTTCCCAAAGCAGCTTACAAGAACAGAAACAACCACACAACCTTTTTTTCCCTACAATGTAAAGTCTCAGCAGCTTGCCAGAGAACCTAATTCAATGCTATGTAAGCTGCATAGTTGGGATTTAGTTAGCTTAGTTCAGAGTGAGAGGTCAAGGCAACAAATGGCACACTGCTCCACCCATCAGCTAATGCAAATATGAGCTGCCTCAAAACAAAACCGGTAAGGTAACTACTGAAAAACTGCAGGCACACTTCTTTATGTTGCTGCCAGAACGCTTTAGGATTAGCGCACCCTGTCCAAACAAGATTTCTTCTTTTCTGCTTAATGAATCTAGTGGTTATTAATCATAGAAACACCAACACATCTCAAACACCCAACTCCCTAATTCTTTGAAAAGTCTTAACAATGAAACCTAATAACAGAGGAATGAGCCGGGTGCACCTGTGTGGCATGTATGAGACCCCATTCCCACAGAGCAACAAAAAGGTGTTTGTCCTCTAATGCTGGGCTCCTGCCCGCTGATGCATTCTTTGGGTATTTGTTCCACAACAAAAAACACCCTGCCATTGAGGGGGTAGAGTCAGTGTATTATACCTGCAGCTCAGGGAGGGACAAAAGCTCCATCCAGGCCTGCTCCAAATCTGGGGTGATCCTCTGTGGTGGTGGTGGTGGTGGTAGTGGAGCAGGGGAGAGGGTGGCCGGGGGCAGAACCGGCTGCTCGGGGGGCATCATGGGGGCTGAGACAGCAGTTGTGTCCAGGCAAACTGGGGTGTTCTGTAAAAGAAAGGGAAATATGTCTTTTAAAAAAAAAAAAACATTTTAAAGGCTGAAGTCCCATGTGGGGTAATTATCCAATGTTCTTACCTCAGTTTCCTCTACAGGAAATGTCTCTGCCAGTAGCTGCAAACATTCATCGAATGACATGGCATCACCGCTCTCTTCTGTGTAGCTGACATTCTGCAAGACACGGTAAAAACATGTTCAGTTTTAACACATAGCATCCTTTGCAGCTCACCATCTTTTAAAAACAGTACATGGCTTATAGAAGTTATTTCTCTGAGTTGTTTCTTGAGCAGAATAAACCGATGCAAAGCTACAGACCCACCTGTGTTTCTGTAATTACGCAGGATGAGTGGTTACTTAGCTACGGCATAGCCACAGCCTATCAAATGATGTGGGAGTGGTCCAGCTCTGACATGAGTAATGATGGCAATGTGCGTGTACCTGTGTAACCTCTAGAGGTGTGACAGCCGACTGCAGCGGGGCGCTGGGTGGCGGGCAGGGGATGTACTCTCCCGTTTCCTCGTCGAGCTGAAGCTGTGCCAGCAGGGCCTTCTGCTGCTCCCGCACCAGATGCTGCCTCTTCTCTTCTTCCAGCTCCCGTTGCCTCCGCAGCTCATGTTCTTTCTGACGGTGATTGTAGTCAAACACCTCACGCCTGGCTCCGAGATCAATGTCCTGGTTCCACAGTATGTCGATCAGCTCCATGTCCTAAAGAAGAGAACCGCAGATCATGTTAGAGAGTTGTGAGCCATGCTGTCCTGCAGTGAGTGTGAGCAGCATTGGAGCAGAGAGTGCACTGCTGTGGAGCGTGGCTGCTGCACCCGCCACACCCTGTCCCTCAGTATCTCTGCACTGACAGCAACACTGGCACTAAAGTCAAGGGGGAGAAGCCGCATGAATAATACATGCACTTCTCCGTTTCCCCTGCTGCCACCATACGCCAGCAGAAGACACCTATCCGCACTTGATACTCTTTTCAAAGCAATCATTAACCATCTCATTACATTGAGGTGTGAAATCATTTGTCCCGTTCAAACTTGCAAATAGGGCACACAGGAAGTCAAGTTTTTTGCATAAGTTAATTCATACTACAGTATAGTTCTCAAATTAGTAACATCTATACAAAAAAAATGTTTACAGCATGTATCAACTCAGGAAGTTAAAGGTAAGTCTATTGTTGGTTTAAAAAATGCATGTTACAAAGGTACTTTGTAAATATATTTCTTAGTCAAATGACAAACAAAATATTTCTTAAAGGGTGGATAATTTAACCAAATTAAAAAGGGAATATAAGGCTATAGATGTGTTGCCGGGGGAAATTACAGAATTATTTTCCTTTTTTTCCCTTTCTATTATATTGTCAAGTAAATAACTTAACTATTGAAAACTGATCTAATAGTTCAGTTTAGATCTAAATGAAGAACAACATTTGTTGTTCTTCATATTTAGCATACACACAGTATTTGAGTGCTCCTTACAACACAGAATGTTAAAACAGGGTCCTAACAACTATGAGGATATTTAAATACGGTTTCCTGTAGATGTCCACCCACAGGCTGAATGTTATTTGCTCTTTTAAACAAGAATGCTGAAAGATAAACTGTGCTGCTCTCTTTTACACAGAAATTATTTACAGAAGGAAACCATTTCACAAGGCCCAGGGATGTTGCATAAACCCAAGACACTGGTTCACAGGAACATGTCTGAGCATGTGACTTGTTTGTTCCTCAGATTTGTGTACACACAGAATTATGGGCAAGGCTTCATAATGCCTGAAGTCGGTCATATGGCCAGAACAGACATAGCCGTCAGGCTAAGAGGGAACTGAACTACTAAAGGGGAATAAAGCACAAAGCAGAAATCACAACAAAGAGGATGTGAAACTCAGGAGAAAAAAAGTGTTTTCTTTGATTTTAAGAAAATTGGGCATGTGGTAAATCTTAATCAACTCATAATAATAGCAAACTAGCACCTATATATATATATCCCAAAACATTGTTGACAGCAATTTTCTGTCTACAGCGGTGGCCCTGCAAAATAAGAACCCACTAACCCTCCTTGACTCAATGTTGCATCAGAGCCACGACCACTAAAGGATTACACGTCACTTAGGCCGCCTACTATAAACCATGCGCACAGGGTGAGAGGTGAGAACACAACTAGACATTATGGGTTCAGCTGGAATGGGGAAGTAGCCTCATATGTCAAAGTGGGACGTCTGGTCATCTGTGTTTTCCGAACAAAAAAACACCTTCTTGTCTGTTTTTGACATTTCAAAAACTCATCTGACAAGTCCTACGAGTCCCTCAAAGGACAATCCCATTTCTAAAAAAGGCTCGTCAACTATGAAGTGAAAGTTCAATGTGCCCTTTCACTGTCACTCGTTATATAATGCCAACAATCAAACCCCATTTGAAAAATCCCATCTCAAATGTTGTATTAATGCAAAATAAATGTTGTAAATGTAAAAATAAGCGGGTTGGATCAGGTTATCGGTGGTATCAGTAACAAGGCTGTCACAAGACCTGAATTGGCACCAGAACAAGGAAACTGGCTCATAAATTGACTTACATTTTCAAGACTTCTCTGCCACACAATAGAAGCTGAACAAGCTGTCTTTTGTCTAAAATTGTGACAAATGTGCGAAACAGACACACAACACCCAACTACCAGAAAACACATGTTAAACACACACACTGATATAAACCAAAAACAATATCCAATGGTCCCTTAGGCTATCAAACTGGGTGAAGAGGAGTGATACTAAATGTGTGTGCTTCCAGGGTTGTTCATTTACTCCTCTTCACCTAAAAACCAGGGCCTCAAAGGGGACATGACTCCAGTAGTTTATTACAACTCCTTTCATCACACACTTGTAGGACACCAACCCTTGACCGAGGAGGATGAAGCACAGTAGCACATGTTCCAAAAACAGACCTTTAGGCCCCCATTAGTCAACCATGGTCTTCCACTGACCCTTACATATCACATGAGATTATCCCAAATGCAAAGTTTGTTTCAATGTCTATGAATAAAAACAATGCTATACCAAGGGTAATGTGGTGATTTTAAATGAGAAATACACTGAAAAAAACAAACAAAGGCAGAAGCAACAGTTAAAGAATTCACAATATACACGTTTGTCTATATCAGATATGGGATATCACATGCTTGGAGGAGGAAGGGGGAGGGACTGTTACGAGAAATAGGCTCATGACACTTCTTGTTTACCTAACTTGTCAAAAATGTAAAAAATAATGTTTTTAATTCAAATAATTCTCCAGATTCTCAAAAAAACACACTGCTTTACTTTATTAGGAATGATGTTATATCATGTCGAGGCATAACGTCACAAGTGAATGACTTGCATAAGCGCAGGAGCGCGACGTTAATATTCTATAACTAAACACAGCCAGGTTCACGAGGGACTTTCTAAGCTCTCTCTCACAATTAAAGAAACAGCTGTTTATTATAACCTTATATCTACGCCAAAACGAGGTTGTCACTGCGTATTGATCATATACATAAAGCGAACATTACAAAAGTTTACCTGAACTATCTCCCTATCAGATCGTTTCGGTATCAAGGAAGTTCACAGTCAGTGTTTAATGATCATTTTTAAGAAATTATGTGTTTACCTGTTGACCGGAATGAATCACATCCATTTCCAGCATAGTGGAGATCTGTCTAGTCTTGAACGGACGCTTTATTATTGTTAAATGTGTGTGTTATTCCTTGAAATGGCAGATTAAAATGGCGAGCGGTCCGAAGCCGATAGAGTCCGTCGCAGCAGCTGAGCTAAGGGAAACATTGCTTCCTTTAAATCTATTGAACATTACGGAGGTGCTGGCCCTGCCCACCGAGCGGCGGCGCCGGGATCGTCCCCCTCTCACCGGCCTATGAGGCGGTGCGAGCTGGGTGTGCATGCGTATAGAGCCGCTAGGCTGATCAGACAGGCCTATATACATTGAAAACACCCCTAACTAAATAAAAACATGCAAACATATAATTGTTTTCATGTTAAAGTTTCTATAACTCTTAAAAATGACTCTGGAAACACATTTAATTCAAACAAACTAGCACTTGTCTTCACTGTCTAATAAACACGTTAAGATAAATGAGGCTTAAATATGATGGGAGTAGGATTTTTTATATTTCTGGCTGAAAAAAAACAGATATATAATGTGCACTTATGGAACACATTTTTTTTCTTCTAGTTTCTATTTTAGCTCCGCCATCAGAACAGTTTTGACTGGTCCATAGCGCCCCCTGCTGGTTGTTTGGCCCGATGTGGAGCTGGAGGCCCTGGGGCCCTAATGTCCCCGTGGAAACACTGAACACATCCACTGCCAGCTAGAAGCCTGTCTAAAAGTTGTGAGGAGACAACTATGGGCTTTATTCAATGGTGGAAGAAGCATAGATTGTTTAGGCTAAATGGCACTACTCAATTTTCTATTTAAAGTCCTGACCTTTAGCAAACATAGCAACACGATGTCGCCTACTTAAGGTATCTAAATTGGAAGTAATCAATATGTTGAATGGTCCCTGTCAGTTAATATTATTTTATGTTTGGATCCTTTTAATGACAGATGTAGGCATACTTTAGTGATATGGTTGGTCGGGTGGAGTCCTTTTTCACTGCTAATACTGCTAACTAACATTTTTCTCAATAGTTTAATCCTTAAGAATGCATTACTTTTAAAAGTAATAGTTATAGTGTATTTCTTAATGTAGTCCAAAATAACTGTAGTTGTTAAATAGTGTAATAAGAAGTAGAATATTTACTTTTGACTTGTAGTGCAGTATAGAAGTACAAAGTAGCAATACATGGACATTCTTATGAAAAGCACTTAAAGTCAAGTACTTCAAAAACAAATGGGCTAACTCAGTAAATGTGATTACTGCCCGCCACTGACTTTGGTCCATGTTTATTCGAAATGCCTTATATTTAAAACTGATGATAATTAACTGTTATAATGGTATTTATTAAAGAAGCATTGTATACAAAATGGGATTTTTACGAAACACAAACCAAGTGTTTGTATACTTACTGCATAGGGTGTATAACAGCGGTTGAAGGTAAATATTTGTGTGGACATTTTATTGTTTGCTCAAGGCATACTGCACTGCATGTTTAAGTACCTGTAGGAGTACTTTTTTTAATTTGGGCTACTTTATTCCACTCTACTATTTTTCCAGAGGGCAATATTTTACTCTTCACTAAACTACTTTTATTTCACAGCTGTCCTTAAGATCTCACATACAAATCATATGTCAACTTTGTGAATTGTTATATATTAAACTAACAAACAGGAGCCTTAATTAAATATGCCAACTGGGAGAAACCTCTATAATGACCAGTTACACAACCAAAGGCTGCAGTTTTAAAATATCTTATCTTTCTTAATTGGATCATTCTGGTTTATAAACTTTGATTGCAGAACCTACTTGCGATAGAGCATTATTAAACTGTTATGAAAGTGCAAGGTCTGACATCTTCTTCCACTAAGTGGTTAGTAAGCAACCAAACTCTAAACACAGTTGCTTAAATTGGCTCCACATTGTCGATGGTCAACACTAAAGTTCTACTTAAACATGAATTATGTAATATGGACTAACATGTGTAGCCTTAACGTTTGATGGTTTAAGTCTGAGCATGCTTGTTACTAAAGTCACATTTTATAAATGCAGGACTTTAACTTTTAAAGTAGGCTATTTGTTACAAAGTTGTTCTGTTTTTACCATATAGGTCTACACACTGGTTGACATGCATGCAAGAAGTGAATATTGATATCCTCTCAACTGCTATGTTTTTCAAACAAGTTGTTGAGGCTTATATAAGTCAATAACAATTTAACCATTGTGACACCTCAGCGAAACTATAGAAGTCGTATCGAGATGTAATGAAGTGTCTTTTAAAACATGTCAAGGTACTGAGGCAGACTTAGCCCTGGCTATAACACTTATCTGTGAAGAACCTCCTCACACTAAAGTGCAGCTCACTGTGCCACTGCGTGAAATTACACAAAAAAAGCCTCTTTTTTTTCTCCCCCTCCTCATGCGCGTTCATGAACACGCGTTCACGTTTGGCAGCTCCACGTCGACATTCTTCCAGCTGCATATAGTGAACTGCACAGGACTGGGGGAAGAAAAGGTAAAAGCGTCTGTAGCCACCTTACGATTAGAGCGCTGCAAGTCCGCAGACGGACACCGACCGCAGTGAAAACAGGCGTTTGCACTGTGAATCCAGAAATGGCCTGCATTATCCTGAGATCGCATTCTGCTTTTGCATTTTTATCATCAAGACTATTTGCCCTCGTGTTGGATTGCAGCTGGTCCCTTGCGATCACCTATATCAGGTACAGTATGACTTGCAGGACTTTATCATATTACTTATTGGGTAAATCATTGTCAAGAGAATGATTGAGGCGTGACACTGTGTGATTTGGTGCATTATTTTGCACTTCAAAAGTTGCTGTCACTTTATTGCTGTTGAAGTGGCAAGTGCCCTGAATCCCTTCAAACTGACAGAAGTGAATACTTAAAGACCATCTGCATTTTCCAAATTGCTTTATTATATCTATCTACATTGTTTAGTGGATAACATATTTCCCTAGGGCCTTTTGAATTCTGAAAGTTGTTAAAGATCAACAGGTAGAATCAATGACACATCAGCAGAGGAGGGGAATTATTCTAATGGAGTTAGAGGTATTACCAAAACTGGAAACTTTAAACATGTCAGCTAATATAGAGACTGCTTTGTGTGTGACCTTTGCAACCTACCAGATGGTCAAGCTGAAAGGTAATGAAATACATTAAAGGGTCATTTTTGGTTGGATGTAACCAACTATTGCACATAACCTATTATATTTAGCCATTTAAAATGTCTAAGGACACCTAACAATGTGTAAAAAGACTCCATCTGGCCTGCTTTACCTGTGTTACTCTAGGGAGGACCCACCACACAGCAAGCCTTTCTGTAGGCCCATTCCTAAAAGCATTCAAGTCTTAACTACTTATTGTTCTCTAGTCTTTTACAAACCACACCAGCTATTTTCTTTCTTGGAGTTGTATGTTTCAAAAGTCAATACAATGAACAAAGTGGTAATCAAAGTGGATGTCTGGTTTTCCTTGCTTTTTGTCCCTAACTACAGGTTAAGGGAGCACCCAGTCATGAGGCTCTGCACAAGGACAAACCTATGAGGTGGCACTATGGCTTTCCAAATAAAGTTCTGTGATACACTTAGACTCTAATTGCCTGCAGTCAGTGCATTACAGAACTTTGTTTTGTGAGTTAAATCCTGTGGCAAATAAACCTTCAACCATCTGGACCTTTGAGTTTACAGCATGGTGCAATATTTCTGTTGACAAATAACTGTTTTTTTTTAATAAAGTTTATTTTGGTTTCAATATTGTTTTCACAGCCTCTGTCTTTTTTGAAAGTTTAAACCAATGTTAATGTTTATTCTAAATATACTGTTTTTGGATGTTTATGTATACTAACTTTGTGTTGAATGATTAGTTAAGTAGCACTGCTGTGTGCCATATGGAAACAGTGTTCAGGTGAGTGAGTGGAGGTAAACAATTAAGTCATATAATATTACTTTTTAAAAACACGTCACAAATTACACATGAGGACTTTTAACCCTAGATGATGCTGTTTTAAAAGTTAAAATCAATAATTAAAATAATAATTTTCTTAAAATAGCATTAGTTCACTTTAACATACTGTTAAAATACATTTAAAATGTCCACACAACTTTATTATTTAAAGTAGTTATACTAGAAGGACTAAATTCATTTATTTATCTCCTTAACATCTATGTAATGTGACTGTTAATTCAGTCAATGGAGCATATGCAACCAGTCGTATATTGCAAGGCATGCTGGGAAATAAGTAAAGTGGTGCATTCAAGTGCAGAATAAAGAAAACGTAACTTGTGCAACTATGTTTAATTTTCTGGTTTCAAAGTTCAGCAATGAGGGATTTAAAACATACAACACAATTATCGTTTTTAATCTTCAAAAGGCATATTCACATTGTTTGTTATGTCGACTCTAAGTCCAAAACCCAAACATATACACTTTACAATCATGTATGAATAGAAAAGCTATTTGAAACTTGAAAAGCTACCACAAGCACGATATATGGCATTTCTAATGGTAAAATGTTTTTAATGATTATGTGGTCATTTAAATAGTAAAAGATATTTTTTTGTAAATCTCCTAATTGATTAATCGATTTATCATTTCATTGCAAATCTGAACCAGATTTGGAAAGTACATTTACTAGGCTGTATTTAAGTACAATATTGGGGCACGTTCAATTTAGTCCAGTATTTATTTTTGTGCTAACTTATAATTTATTTATTCTATTGCAATTCAAAGGCAACTATTGTACTTTTTACTCAACTAAATGTATTTGAAGCTGTTTATGCCAGGTACATTTACACATACAAGGAATTAACTTTGGTGTATGGTGGTGCAAACATAAACAACATAAGGTAATACATTGTAAGAGAAGATCAAAAATAGAACGATTATAATATATATACGATTTAACATTAAAATGATAAAGACACGTATTAACACCACATACAAATATACATGTACAGTATGTACAATGCATACAAACTGCAATATTATATATTAAAGTGGAGGGCTGTGCAGATATTTAAAAGAGGTAGGGATATATAGAAATGTAAAAAGACATTCAGAAAGATGAACATGAACATGTATTAAAAAAGAATAATATGTTGTTCACATGATTTGCATTAATGTAATGTTTGTCTTTACCACTGCTAATTATAACACAAAGTTACCGTCAAAAAATATTTATTGTATGGCATTATCTTAAAATTATGTTTTGTTGTCCCATATAATATGCTATCCCAGTGGTGTAAAGTAACTAAGTAGATTTACTCAAGTACTGTATTTAAGTACAAGTTTGAGGGACTTGTACTTTACTTATTTCCATTTTTTGCTACTTTGTACTTTTACCCCACAACAATTAAGAGGTAAATGGTGTACTTTTACACCACTACATTTATTAAGTACATTTACTTATATTGTACATTTGGGTTATTGATGTGAAATATAATCAACACTTAAACAAAACTTTAGTTACACCTGGAGTAAAATTCACAAGCTACCCTGCAGCATACAAAGTAATTACAATTAGCTGCACCTTTACCAGCTTTGATAACACTAAAATGCACACATTATTATAATCAGTACACATTATAAATATTATTCTGAAATGGACCAATCTGTGTAATGAGTACTTTTGGTACTATAAGTATATTTTGATGCTTATACTTTTGCACTTTTACTTAAAGAACATTTGAATGGCAGTGATTTTACTTGTAAAAGAGTATTTCTACATTCTGGTACTTTTACTTAAGTACAATATCCAGTACTTCTTCCACCTCTGCTCTCTCCGAATGCTAAACGTGGCAAGAACAAATTCCCATTTCTCAGTTGCCATGCATTTACCACTACTCGTGTCATTCATGTGGACCGACAGTGATTTTTCCGACGGTCTGTGAACGCGGCGCACTTTCCCTGCGCTGACCTCTGACAGCCGCTCATGGATCCGCTGCTCCCTCCCTTCACAAACAAGGAAGCAGCATGGCGTCCAACAGCAGCGGCAGCTCCGACAGGCAGCGGGTTGCACAGCAAAGACTGAGAATAATTACCGGACATTTACAGGGACGAGAGGACGGGGACTCCACCATCATAGCCGCCGAGTGCAAAGCCGAGGGCAGCCAGACAGATATCTCCAGAGAGGAGGGGAAGACGGTGCCGAGGAGAAGGTACAAGGCTGTGATGGAGCAGTGTTTGAGGGTCCATCCTCTCTGGTTTTAGCTTGTTATTAAGTAAAACATCAGGAAACAGGAACACATGAGGGTGACATGCACTGACAGACTGGCTTCTCTCTCTTTCCCAAGCGTTAAAACGTAGTGATAGGTGGCTAAACCTGCTTTAATTAGCCTGCTAGCTAACGTCACTTGGCTACAGTGTCTGTATTCATTCGCTAGGATTGTGGGTGCGGCTAGCTTCACTCTCAAGAGTTTAAGGCTGCTGGTGTAGTCGACTTTCTTAAAGTTGGTCAGCTAAAGCCTTTTTCTCTGTCTTATATTTGATCGTTTATTGTGTTATATGGCTGTTTTTCAGCGTTAGTGAGGTCCTAAAACCAAGCAGGAAGTGGCTTATCTGGCACTTTCTGATGCTACAGATAATTAAGTCATACAGTTTGATTCACTAGCTTTGCCAGTCATTCAACTATCCATGCTATAATCGATACAAATAATCTTATGTGATTACAATGTAAAGCACACATGTTGGTAAGGGAATCATTGAGTACAAGAGAATTTTTATTTTATTTATAGTTTCCTTTACTAGTTTTCAATATATGGGACACATCAGAAATAATGTAAGTCATGTTAACAATAGTTGACATACAGAAACTTCTCTGTCTCCTCTGCTGAGGATCTGATTGGCTAGGACAAGTGGTGGTATGACTTTCAACCTATTGGCAGCTCAGTTCCTTTTGAGGAAACGCCTTAACACGGTGCTGACATCTAGTGCCAGTCTGAGATAACAGATGTAGTTAAAAGGGCAAAAGCTGCACTCAGAAGTACTAAGCATTTGGCCTTGTGAAATTCATCATTTCCTGTTCTGGTCAAAATGACATTGGGATGATAAGATGGAATATTGTGTCTTGAGGAAATGTTTGTTCCATTAATTGTAAAACTGATCTTGAACTCGGGGTTGAAAGTGTAGGAAGTTTGAATGTTAAGGAAACAATCATTTAACAATCAGTGTGTTTGTCCATCAATATCATCATAAGTAATATAGTTACATTATTACATGGAACATCAGTAAAGGGTGAATAACAACACAGAGCTGCAACAATGAATTTACTAATGAAATATTTATGTGTAATAAATCCACCGACAGAATAATTATTGCTATTTTACTTTATTTTACTACCAGTAGTACATATTTATGTACATGGCTTTCAGCCTCTCAAATATGGAAATTCCCTAATTTTCTTAGTGTCATATCCAACTAAATATTTTAGTTTTTTGGCCTAACAAACAAGACATTCAAATACATCAAATCGGCCTTTGAGAACCTGCGATGGACACTATTTTCTGACATTGTATAGACCAAATCATTAGTTGATTAAGCTATATAACAATATAAAGATTAGATTAGTCAATTATTGGTATAATTCTTGGGTTAAGCCCTTATGAATGATATATATTTTTCTGTACCAGGAACAGGCGCAATCTAACTCTGTGGCAATCATTGTCTCAGTCTTGTTTAGTCTAACATAACCACATACAATACAAGTACAAAAACACATAGTCATTGTTTGTATGGATAAGTGCCAAAAGACTTTCTCTGTTTAGCTTTTCAGCCACAACCTTTGCTGTTGTCTCATTTTTAAAGCACCTTTCAGGCATGGTTTGTTTAGTGGTTTCAGGGAGAAATCCAGATTTTCAGGATTTATGGTATCTTGGCTCCACCAAGCTCAAACTGAAAGACAGCCTCACAACAATAAAGCTTGATGGGCGTGTTAGTTTAAACTGAGGTGTAGATTACTTTTGATCATTTTTGAGGCTCTACTGAAAGGTTATTATTTGTACAGTGTGTTGTGCAATCAAAATGTTTTCAGCTCCACATATTCAATAACCTTATCCCAGTTTATAGTCATAGTGAGATTAGCGTCATTATACTACAGATTGTATAGTTTAATAAAATCCTTCTAAATTCAAAATAGTGTTCCTTAGACAATGTCATGCCCTTGTAGCATGTTGATATAAGAAAGCATTACAGGCTGCTACAACATCATTTGTATCCAATTTGATAGGTCTAATTAAGTCTAAGTTATTTAAATAGCACAAAACTACAACTCCCACCCTTTAGAGGTCTTCACACAGCATCATTACAGCTTCAATGCTCAGGCCTTTGATTTGGATGAGGTAAAAGTTGCCCGTTAGCAATGAAGAGCTAATTTAGTCAAAAAATATTAATGAAGACCTTGCTAATCACCTTACATTGTCATAAGTGTGTACTTCCTGACCTTGACACACACTCGCTATATTTATTGATACATTTTTATTCAGTATGTTCAGTGGCTATGACAGCATATCAATGGTGGCGATGATTCATTAAAGTATGACTCAGTCTCAGTGTGTCTCTCTCATTTCTGCTCTCGCTTCTAATTTATAGGAAACTCCATTTTGGCGGGTATTAATCTCAATTATGGCTTTTACTCCACTGTGTTAGCATCCCATCCCAAGTGACCCATGAGTTATGGTTGCTGCGTGAGCTGTCTCTGCAGAGTGCCAGTGCAGCACACAAGCTCTGCTCAGTATTGCAGCATAGACAGTGTAGCGTCATCTCTGGTTGTGAAGCTGCCGTTGATTATAATGGGATATCCCTCAGCATAGTATAGCATTTGTTAAGTAGCTATGGCTGTACTTTTATTTTCTTGCTGATTCCACCACTAATAACAGAAAGTATGTCTGGTGCTTATGTGCTATATTAGTGGATATATGTTGCTCAATAATTAGCTGGAGCTTGATAGTTCAGCAAACATATTTAGGAATAGGCCTAATATTAACAATTCAGCAATAATAAATTAGCTATGGTGGCTACCAGGTAGAGACTTAATGGTATGAACATGTAATATACAAATTAAAGTAATCAAATGTAACACTGTAATCATTATTACTGTTTTATTAAACTGTGCCGAACATGATCAACAAGTACTGATATACACACACGTTTTATAATGAAAACAACAAAATAATAGCAGTGCTATGCACTAACATTGACCCATGCACAAGTACTAAGTCCTTTTAGAAGGCTGAAATATCTCTGGACCCATATCATTGCCTTATGCAATGTTTTTGGTGACTCAAAACTAAACCATGTTGCATTCTTCATCCTGCATCCTGGAGACTGTTGCCTACTTTGATTGACGCTGGACATTATTTACTGTACGCTTTTTAAAGAGCGTTAGTCAAACCATGAATCTGTGTATAGCGAAGCTGGTAACGGTTTCATCCATACTAACAGGTGCCATACATTTAAATAATATTAATTTAAGGGATGGCAAAAGGCTGAGGGCACAGGAGGAACGTCTGATGGATAAGTTATCTGAATGTGTAGCTTCTGCCTCTGCATTGGTGTGCCCGTCTGCACCCTCCCATACTCTACAGCTGCAAAGCATTGCCACCTGGGATGAATGCAAATCCTCCCTCAGAAATGCAATATGTCTGTTTAAATGTCAGCGATGGTGTTTCATCTCATGTCTTGACTTCAGTGTAAGGGTTATACATTTTATGTTTAATATCTCCCATTATTTGTTTTTCCACAGGCAGGAAATCATGAAATGGAACGGCTGGGGATACAGCGATACAAAATTCCTCTTCAATAAGAAAGGTCAAGCAGAATTTACAGGCAAAAGGTACTGTATAATAATCACTGCTCCCAATGCTTAACTACATCTCATTCAGCCTCTAATCTTGTTCTGGTACATCCTTTGTCTCTACCTTCATCCAAACCTAATGACTGGACTTCTGCCTCGATCATTTTTCACAGGCCATACTGTGTGCTTTTAAAATCATTTGTTGTCCCCTTCCTACGCTCACAGCAATGTGGTGCTACTGCCACCTACTGGTTGGCATTTGAACTGTTTATTGTCATATGAGAAGGTCACTGCTTGTGATTGTCAGCTCTCCCAAACTCTGTAGCTCGTTAGCAGAAAACACTTTCCAAAAACATTTGAATGTCTGAGGGAAACAAAGCCAGTTGTCCTCAATCTTACTAGATATGGCTCCAGTTAACAACAGCAACTTTATCCACGTCTCCCATGACAAGAGCAGAGGTAAAGATGAGCCATGTGATTATAATCATGACATATGACTAGTCAGACTGTTAACATGGAGAACTAGCACTCTGTGTATGAGGATGTGTTTTGAGTAATGAGGCGAGCTAAACAGGATGTTGCACAGCAAACGGTTTCCTCCTGTGAAAGTAGTTCATAGAAATCGCTCTCTGCCCTTTGGAGTGAATAGCTACCTGGGTGGCGTACACAGATATCGGGGCTGGGGGCTGTTGGAGGAATGTCACAGACAGTATTCTCCTCCTCCATGCTCTCTTCGACAGAGGCTTTCCATTATAGGGTGTGTTTCATGGTCTCGTGGACAAAGGCACGCCAGAGTCCCCTGATGGGCTGGCCCGGGCTGTGCCAGAAACTTGATTATTCAGGGATGGAGAGGGCGGTCACATGGACAGCATTGTCACCGCTGCTCTGCTTCCCTAATAACCTCATTGGACACAACCCTCACACTCTTCTTATTAGACACAGTCCTGGTTTTAAAAGTCACCTATTATGCAAAATCCACTTTTTCATGTCTATTATATTATACATAAACATGTGTCCCCTCTGTGTAAAGAGATTCTGAATGTTTCAGGAAAAAAGATTTGCTCTCTTTTTGTCCTGATCCATTTATATAAAAACCTGTCTGAAAATGAGCTGATCAGATTTTGGCCACTTTATGATGTCATAACGATTTTTTGGCTTGTGTAACCATTAGCCAATAACCAACCAAGGCAACACCCCCCCCCCCCCCCCCCCACCACCTACCACCTGAATCTCCTCCTAGAGCACCATTGTGTTCTTTTTAACCAAATATCCCTCAGAGGGGCGTTGGGAGTGGCTCCTTATTTTCATCTAAAGTAACAGACAGAGAATCAGCACTTTTGAAACAGGGCTGAAACAGAGGGGTTTATGGGATGCTACAATGCATGATCTGTTTGGTATTACGAGCCAAACACTTCAGACATGTTTTGTATATATCTGAGACCTATAATATATTGATGAAAAACAGTATAATAGGGGACCTTTAAATGAACAAGCCCAGTGAAGCATTCAGATGTTTTCTATTTGACTTCCAATACAGGAAATCACTAATACATGAAGCGTTGATGATTATTTTATATTTTTGTATTATTTGGATGTTCATTCAATCTGTGTTCCTTCCAGGTATAGGCTAAGTGGTATGATCATCCCTGCTCTGAAGGAATGGTTCGAAGGCACGTTTGGGGCCAGTATGCAGCATAAATCTCCAGCAGCGGTGAGTGTGAATCATATTTATTTGTTGCGTCTTCAATGAATGGGGAAGAAGAACACTTAGTAACCCACAGTTACATATTAACACAATGGCTTTGTTTCTTTCAGCCTGTTCTGAATAGCGGTGCTGTACAGCCTCCCACTCTAAACGAGGCCTTCTTGGAAGAACTGAAATCCACAGGTATTCCCTTCTCTCATGACGCAGAGGACCGGGTGTTTCGGGCCCATGGTAAGGCATTATGGGAGAAAACGTTGCACTTGAAATTACCCAATATTAATTCTTGTTAAAATGGAGCATATCATATATGTAATGTCTTATAACTTAGTGTTTGTGTGTATGTAATGATTATATTAATATTCTTGTGGGCTCTTCATCTCATTCCTGTATTTTATTCCAGGACATTGCTTACACGAGATCTTTGCTCTGCGAGAGGGGAAAGTTGGTCGTGTTCCGGATATGGTGGTATGGCCAAGTGAGTTCAGAAGCTGTGTCATCTCTGTTTTTATTGCTTTGTTTTTTTCCTCCCACATAGCATCCCTGATCCCCCCCCCCCCCCACCTACTGGCTTAGGTGATTTAAAGGGTTAATCTCTGCAGAGGCAGGGGTATTAATATGTATGAGTGGAGGCTTAATAAGAAGCGTCAGGGGGAGGACGGTTGACACCCAATACTCCACGGTCTGGCTCTGCACACTGCACCCATGAATTATGATGCAGAGATTGGTTTTCTGTTGTTATCGCTGGCACTTTTGTATCATGCAAATGAGTGTTGACTGATGACTGAGACTTGATTAGCACCCTCCCAAATGGGCAGCAAATCACTAAGCAACTGTGGGCATCGTTTCATCCGCACCAGCACCACATTTAAATTTGACCGAATACACACTCATTTGCTCTGCATATAATAGATATTTTGACCTGTAATTTGCATTCCTCAGTATGCCTTCCAAGTCAAGCTGTGTATTTTAAGTGGAGGTTTAGTTTGTTGGACTGTAATCCGTGGGCAGAAGCTGTGTGTTTAATTGGATGGCAAAATGCACTAGAATGCAGGCATTTCTCAATGCCTCTAAAAGCAATTGAGGCCAGTCAGGCACATCCACGTAGGCGGGTATTGCCACCCTTCCCACTCGCTCACCACTCCAGTGTGAATGGATGTGAGAGCTGTGATTGGCCAAAGCACGTTTGTATTGATCCAGCACATCCCACCCCTGAGAGCAGAGCCTCATGCAGTCGGACTCCGCCTGAGGAAAGCCCCAGGCAAAATACAGCGATCAGGCAAATCAAAATGTCCCTCAGCTCTAATGGCACCGCCCATATACATGTATTTATTGTCTCATGTACACACCAAGTGTTAGGGGGCATTTGTATTTCCTTTACAATGTGTCCACTCTGTTATTATGTTTACACTTTATTTATGAATGCAATACAGTACGGTAAATGAAAACATTCCCTTTATGATGGCCACTAATTTCTAAAATGATGTTCTGTGTCTTTGCAGACTGCCACGATGATGTGGTGAAAATAGTTGAACTGGCGTGCAAACATGATGTTTGTTTGATACCATATGGAGGTAAGTCATGATATCAATGTCTCTAAGCACCATAATTAGCAGTCTCAGACTTTATGTACAGAACACTAGATGTGTATTTGCATTTAATGTACTTTAATACATAATGTACTTTACAATTGTAATGTACAGTATGTACATTGAAGTATTATTTACACCCAACTCATGCTTGTGAATTTCTGTTATTTTTATTAATGAAGCCTCATACTCACAAACTGTAAATCAACCTGGTAAACTTAGTACTTCCGTACATTCGACACTATGAAGAACTTGATGTTCTGTCTTTCTGCCACCGCCACTACTGTTTAATGATAGCAAAATAACCGAAAATAAAAATGGTTTTCATTATTGCAGCAGTTTCTCAACAGGTTCCTGAGTAATAAAAGTCAGTCAAATATTTAAAGGGGACCTATCATGCAAAATGCACTTTGTGATGTCTTTTATACATAAATATGTGTCCCCGGTGCGTCGGGGAACTCGCGCAGCGTCAGAAAATAAAACCCTCTCTCTTTTCCTCCGTACCCAAATCTTTTAAAAACTGGGGTACAACGAGCGGATACAGATTTGCTGCCGATATGACGTCAAATCGGCGGCGGACCCACAGAAAATTGCTATCAGAAACAATGCCTGCCGTGTTTTGGACGTAATCTCGTCTTTGTTTACATTAGCAAGCCTCGCTAACACTCAGAGCTAACCTGTACTGTATAGCACATGTGTTTTAAAAAGCAGGAAATAAAAAAAGGAACTCACCTTGTGATAAACCCGCAAGAGAGAAATATTTTGAGCTCCATACTGTTTCAGAAATAATCTTTGATGTGGTTTAGAACAGGATGGCGTTTTATCACAGCAGAATTTAACTTTATCTCCGGTAGAATTCTGATCAGGCATTAGCTCCGCCTCCTCTTTATTTATTTTTCAAGCGAAGGACCCAAAATCAGCGTTTCTCTAACAGGGCTGCAAAAGAGGGGTATGAGCTACAATGGGTGATCTGTTTGGTATTTTAAGCAAAAAACTTCACAGACATGTTTTGTATAGGTATGGCCCTACAATATATTTTTCCAATATAGCATAATAGGTCCACTTTAAGCAATTATATCCTGAAGCCTCCGGTCATTTTCATAGAACAAAGTCCTGATGATGGGTTATTTGCACCTTTGCTTTTTTTAAATTATTTCTTTAAAACTTTATTTAACAAGAATGTCACTAAGTGCAAACATTTAAATACATTGCAGAGCCACATCCGCATTGCGTTCAGAATTAATGAAAGTCTGATTCATGTCGGGTTTGCTACTCATACCAAATAATGTTTTTTAATATCTTTGTTTGAGATATTCCCTAAACATTCATGTGTTGTTGTTTCACACAAAGCCTGGAAGTATTTGTGTGAAAAACATGGAACCAGTAAAGTGTCCAATGTGAGGACAGTAACCACTGACTGTAACGGTTGTTTTCTCTCTCAGGAGGGACGAGTGTCTCTAGTGGCCTCGAGTGCCCACCAGAGGAAACTCGCTGCATTGTCTCCGTGGATACCTCACAGATGGTAAGTAAACACTGCACTAAGGACAATATGAACTGAAACCAAATGAAATGCTGTTTGAATCAACTATAAAAATAAATAATTGAACCTAAAAAGGTCAAGTTTATGGTGCTATGTCTGAAAAACACTGGTTTGCTTTAAAAAGGTGTTTCTAATTTAGTACAGTTTTTGACTTAATAATTGTATTTTATCATTTAAAATGTGAGCAAAAACACTTTAAATTTGAGTAGCTTTCTGGGTTATTTAATGATGTTTTTGAGAATGGGACACTAGTATTTATAATTCTTTTTGGCATTGTTTGTGTTTTATGAGTGCATTTTCTACATTTTGAGAAGAATCACAATTTATTCATAATATAAGTCATATTTTAAAATGATTTATCAAGCAGCAATATAATTCTGTTCTACCTTGTGAGGTAGAATGTGACAATGTCCAATTTTTTGGGACACACAAAGACTATTTGTTGGATATTTGACATCACTTGTGAAAATAAGCTTTAATTTCAGCCGTAGTTAGAATTAGCGTATTTTGTTGTGTGTAAGTTAGTACATCTTATTTCTTCTCTTTATGATGATAAATGTGTGAGTCGGGCACCAGCTAATATTTAAACGATATCCCAAGCATCTCACCATGAAGGAGAGATGATGTTTCATTGGATATGATATGAAATGGTGAATATTGTCACCAGTACAGTACAGCCCTTTGATCCGGGCTCACAGAGCGGTGATATATACGCTGTCTGAGTTTGGTGCCACACACACCAGCCACCAGTGTTCTGTGTCAGGGGGTCAGAGGTGAGGTGGCTCCAATGGAAGCACATGAAAGGGTCTCTGTGGTTGGAACATAAAGTTTATTACCTCTGGAGAATAATTGATGGCAGTAGTGAAATGACCTCCTGCAGGTAAGGGTATGCCACGTGCCCAGCGGCCTAAATAAGAGGCATATATTTGGAATTACATGTTAAATTGAGTTTAACCTTGAGGTAACTGTCTCCGTCCCGCGGCCCCTCTGCACTCATTTATCCTCAGACATGTGACCGTCAGGCTACAAGGACAAGCTGGGGCAGAACTTTTAAAAATAAAAAAATTCAAGAGGCAAACTGTCAAAGGACTGTCTCCATGGACTGCTGCTGACATGAATGTCTGGGAGCAAATTCATTTTATATGCTACACAAATATGGCCAGGATCCGTTGAATTTTCGTAATATTGGGTTGCAGATTACAATTTTCAAAAGGGGGGTTCGTTTAGCATGAAACACTTGAAATAACTAAAGGATAAGTTAAAAAAGAAAGTAGAGAGAAAGTGAGGTCATAGTAAACTATATCTGCTAAAAAGTTAGCAATGATTGAGAGTCAGACCTAAACATTTCAGATGTGTGTATCTCACACGGCACTGTAACTTTAATTCATGTACCTTTGTTATTCATGTTTTATTACAGTATCTTTGCTTTTGAAATGAGTGTTTTTAAATGCCATTTTATATCTTTGCTTTTAAATGAGTGTTTTTAAATGCAGTTTTATAATATGCTTCTTAATGTCTTTCATTTTTGTAAAGCACTTTGAATTGCCTTGTGTTGAAAGGTGCTATATAAATAAACTTGCCTTGCCTTGCTGTTGAGGACCTAGTTTATGTCAACTTAACAGAAATGGGGATATGCAACATTTGTATTAAGATATTGTAACTTACACAACAGAATAGCAATGTTTTTAGACAAATTAAACAAAAAGCATTAGAGAGTATTTCTATTAAACTGTTTGGCATTAAGCATTTATACTAAATGTTTTATGACCTGTGTTTTCCATTCACAGAACCGCATTCTGTGGATTGACGAGAAAAATTTAACGGCCCATGTGGAAGCTGGCATCGTCGGCCAGGATTTGGAGCGATTGGTAAGTACTGCTCATCCATCCATATTCATCCATGAAAGAGCTTACATTGCTGTGCCGTGTTGTGCCAACAATCAAGCTGTGCGACCATTCACATACAGGTTGCCCACGCTCAGTCACCTTGCTACTCTGTGCTCAGTAGATTGAGCAGCGTTTAGGAGGGAGTGTGAGACGGGAGCAGAGCTGAGGGGGAGAGATTAGAGAGTGAGGCGGCGGTCATGAGCAGATGGCACCATCAAGCTAATTCAGAAAAATGGAGAAGGAGCGGGCATTTGATGCAGAGGAATGCGTGAGCTGCATCTAAAGCAGAATCTACCTCTGTATTTAGACGGGGCCATTTTGATGGAGCAGATGGGTCTGCGTTAAAAACTGCCTTCCAGGGAAGTGCTGCGATAAAACAAGGCCTGACTTAACCCCTGTTTTGTGCCTCTGCAGGGGGTTGTTGTTGTACTTTAAGGACCTTATTATTATTACTATTAAATGTTATGCCTGAAGATGCAATATGCAAGCTGGGCAGCCTTCAGGTAAATGTGTTTGTTCCTGAAGACGGACTCATTCTCCTCAGAGCTGCAGGGACGGTGCATCTGATGGTGGTTGCGCAAAGGTTTTATGTTTAATGTGTATTATTCTCACATTCTAAGGCTATTTAACAAATAACTAAGATGTCGCTTACAGTATTCGTGGAATGGGTGGGACTGCTGAAGCTGAATGTGCACAAAACTTAAATCACAACTGTTTGTATAACTTACAGCTTGACATAAACATTTAAAACTGAAGTGTACATTTGTATTTATCATGTCACCTGGCAGAATTCAGCAATTTTACAAATGACACAAATGATACAGAGAAGCAGTGGAGCTTTGCATTGCCCAGACATGCACTGATCTCTCTTTTTGTGCTCTTTCTCTTGGTTTATTTTAGGCGGTTGTAAAAAATGTATGATGCCATAAAACCAGAGTTTTAGCATTGCAGCAAAACAAGAGCAGTGAAATTCAGCCTGCAGCTGCAATTATATGTTTTCCTCGTGCTTGCGCATGCTTTTTGCTTGTTATTAAAACATTCTTCTGGGTTTACTACATAATTTCCCCCAAAACATTTTTCTCTCCCCTTTTAATTGAAACCAAAAAACCCTATTTTTTACAGCTTAATGAGAGCGGCTACTGTACGGGCCATGAGCCTGACTCCATGGAGTTCAGCTCCCTGGGGGGGTGGGTAGCAACCAGAGCGTCAGGCATGAAGAAGAACATCTACGGCAACATTGAGGACCTGGTGAGTCCCCCCCCCCTTTATCTTCCTGCTCATGTTTGTGCCAAAGGATGACAGTCAGCACACAGCTGTTACTGCACAGTAATTAAAGAGGACATTATAAGCAGAAGCTTTGTGGACTTGACCCTCCCCTCTAAAATGCAGTGGTCAGAGCATTGGATATGACATATGGCAATAGCCAAACACATTTTTGTCAACATTTGTAAATCTGTGAAAATAAATCTAGACTACTGTTTTGCATATTTCTGTTTCTAATGAGTGTTTTTTATGTTGCTCAATAGGTGGTGCATGTAAAGATGGTGACCCCTCAAGGAGTGATTGAAAAAAGCTGTCGAGGCCCACGCATGTCCACGGGGCCAGACATTCACCACTTCATCATGGGCTCAGAAGGTGTGCTACCGTTCTCGTGTGATTTCAGTACAGCAGAGCATGTGGGCAGTTTGTATGTTCATCTGTGTTTGTTGTGCAAGTCTTTGTGATAAAACGGTAACACCAGGACGGTTCTCATGCTCTGGGCTTCTTACATATTAACCAGCTTTGGTGGAACAGAGATCTGGAGGGGTGTTAGTTAGGAACCAGCAAGTGTCCTCCCAGCCCCATCTGCAGTGCCCTGTCCTTGTGAATGCCCACAGAGAATACTGCCATATGCCAGGTTCCCCCCCTACATAATGAGGAGGTTCAGAGACTCTTGGCATGGCTATGTTAAACAGCTGTCGATGCAAAGTTTATATTCGCCCTACAAAGCTCAGCAATCTGCTCCCTGACTGAGCTGGGATCACTGCAGAAATCTCCATTTGTACTCATTAGAAGCCATTTCAATACCAAGAGCGCGTATTTGTATATAAGATCTGATTCAAATTCAGTCACAAGTGACACATTTAGTACTGAATGAAGACTACAATTGAAAATGTTTCAACATTATAAAACATTTTCAGCAGCTTTTTTTAAATAATTATTGTATTGTTGTTGTAAAAGACTATTTATCAAGTAAACCACCCTGAGATGAACCATATTGTTTTTGACAGGATCCAAACATACCATACGAATACGAATAACAAAATCAACGCAAAGACATTAAATAATGGGAAAAACAGAAACAAAACAGCAATTCAACCGACACACAAAGACAAACCATGTTTAAACGTGCACAATTATATGTTATCATTGATCATTTCTAAATGACCAACAAAACACTTATATAAATATTTTTTTTTAAAGTAGTTTCTTAACTGTGCAGATCAACTCTGACTTATATCATTTTAATCCTATACAAACACATTTTTTTCTTTTTAAGTATGAACAACCACTTTCATAACAGCAAAATTATAAATGTTGCTATAATTTTTGGGCAACAGCATTTTAGAAGCATACCGAAGCAGGTTGAGTTTTGTAAAACCAGTAAACCCAGTAAATAACATAATGGTAAGTAGTGGCGTTCCAGAGATGGGGGGGAGGCTCACACGTCTCTGTGAGCACATGTACTTCTGGGGGGCCGGACGCTGGGACTCAGAGGTCACACCAGCAAACAGTCTCATTAAAATAATCTCCCTCATCACCCCAGAAACTGCATCCTGCGGCCTGACAGTAGGACACAACAAAGCACCACACTAAAACCCTCAACTATGCTCTGCATGTTAAGTGGAACACATCCATTTAGCCAGAAATTGCTGTGGAACATGGGAGCTTCTCATTCACCGCACAACAGCCGGGTCTCTCCATCTCTCTGACCTTGGACTAGCCTGAATGCAAAGTATTTTCTTCTCTCTTCTTGCTTTAAACCGGTGTAAACAGTGGAATAATCAATGATAATAACTTTTAAACTCCTCTCAGCCGTAGAGGATGTGAAGTAGGTGTGCTAATTCAATTATTTGGTTATAAAGTGGGGGCTTCACAGTGGTCAGCGTTGTTTTTTCTTACTAATATCTCTTGCAGCGGAGGGACTATTCATTGGGAACGGCCCCTTTCCCCGTTTACTCATCCTGTGAGAGGAGGTTGGTTTAATAGAGACGGTCACAGTAAAAAATGACTTAAGCTGCACTCCAGCTTTTCATTGCATTGCATCCGTCCCCAAGATAGTGTTTTTATGACCTTGCTGTTCTTATTACCTCCCTTTATTCCTCACTCACTCACCTCCTTTACTCCCTTACCACTGTGGCTCCTCCCTTGTTCCTCTCTCTCTCTCTCTCTGCTCGTCCTCGCTCGCCCCCTCTGTAGCTCCTCCTGCCACTCTCAGGAAGGAGGAGCCTCTTCTTGGCTGAAGCCTAATGGAGTCACATGTTTTCCAGAGGGCCACTAGGGAGCAGCGTGTGGCATGTAGTGTCACGTTAGAGGGCTCATTAACAGACATAACAGGCGGGGGAAACCTCCCTAATGGAGCCGGCTATGTTTGGCAGAGATGCGTCTGTAAATGGAGATCTTCTGTAGTAACACACAACAGTCGGTGGGGGTCGGGGTGGGGGTCATATGATTGGTCCTTACAGATCAAATTCAGGAATAAGGACTGCAACTAACACTTATTTTTCTTGATGATTTATTTTAATTAGTTAAATGTCAGAAAAAAGTTAGAGATGTCCTTTTACACTTTATTAAAACCCATTTCTAGCAACAGTCCAAAAAACATATATATTTAGTTCCCAATGATGTCAATCAAAAGAAGACGGCGTGTTTAAGTGTTTTGACAAAAAATCCATAAAAAAAATGTCATCTGTGGAAGCCGTAATACTGTAAAAAGCACGACCAATCATTTTAGCCGGCCCAGCTAAAATAACTGGATGGCCTACCTGCCCGTCAGCCTTCCATCTGTGCACAAACTTATCTCGTGCCCTCATTGGTCATGTGCGCGTTTGTGTGTGTTGGAGGAGGGGCTCTGTAAGGAAGTGGCAGATTTTTTCCGGTTGTGTATTTTCAAATTCTAGCTATCTCGAGCTGGTTTCTCCAAAATTACCTACCCCACCTTTAATGCAATATTCAACAATTAAATGTAATCAAAATTGTTGAGTAATTGTTAGTAATTATCTTTCTATTAATCATCAACTAATTTCAGTACATCAAATAACTGTTACAAATCAACGATGTTTTCCCAACTTGATTCTGTTTGAAAGTGCAAGAAATTGATTTAGTAACAATGCACATAGTATTCTGATGTTTTTTTTTCAGCAGTACCTTGTGTTGTGTTGGAGTGCATGTTTTTATTCACCTAATGTTCATAAAGCAGAAAAAGGGATGGAGGATTTCAAACACTTTTCAGTTTTATTGTATATAATAAATTCTGTTACAGACTTGCAGAAAGGCAATCAGCACTCCCTAGCTTAAGTTGACTGTCAACACGGATATTTGCATTGAAGTAGTTTTTAAGTATTATTCCCTGCCATATTTGCTGTGTAAGGTAAAGTGGATTCTCAGTTTCTTTAAACATGCAACCTGACTCCTGCAGCAGCAGCGAATTGGTTGATAGTTTTCAGGATCATGAGGACAGCCAGAGGTTTCGGCCTACCTGTATGTTTCTGCTCCTGTTGGCCTCGCTTCCTTTGATAAGGCTCTGCTTTATTTCTTCCCAGTCTTAAGTTGATAAATCTTAGTTCACCCCCAGTGTGCGGTTGAAAACCAGATCTACTCGGTGAAATGTGAGACAAAGGTCAACCAAAGGACCCTCGGGACGTGTACCACAGACTTGTAAACAGTCTTTAAGTTTCGCTCTAAGAAGAGGTTAGGCCATATACATTGTGGGAGCTGATTTACTTGTTTTTTTTAAACTGAAAATCTTTCACTGTGATCTTCCACAGGAACCCTGGGCGTGGTTACAGAGGTCACGATGAAGATTCGTCCCATGCCAGAGTACCAGAAATACGGCTCAGTCGTATTCCCTAATTTTGAGCAGGGAGTTGCCTGTCTTCGAGAGGTTGCCAAACAGGTAACATGTTAATAATACGTTTCACTGCTTTCTCTCCCTGTCTCAACATGAGGCCGAGCCAGAAACCTTTTGAGTGTTGAAAGTTACTCAAGCTGCAATGAGCACTTTTTCGGCCTTAACTGCAGCTCTTCACTGTCAACACAAATCAGCAAGAAAGACCCCAATGTATTTTAGTCCATGAGTATTGCCTTAACTGCCAAGACACTGACGAAAGCTTCCTTTTATATCCTTCTTCTACAACTAAGACAGGCTGACGACGCCATTATCCCAACTTTAAAGTGCCAATTGTTCTCGGTTTTATGTTTTATTTGATTTGCACATGCATAACACTGCAAATAAAATCCAGATAATGAAAAAAATGTGGAAGGAAAGATCAAGAAGCCACAAGGGTGATACAATGAATCTCCTTTTTAAATACAAAAACAACAATATTAAAAAAAGAAAACTAAGCTTACCTAATGACTAGAACAAAACATATACAATAATAGAATACAAATCAATACACTGAAAAAATGTCATATCATTTGGGGGATTTATTTTATATCACTCATTTGACATAATTTTTCCCTGTGATTCAAATAATAACTTTTGTTTTTCAGAGGTGCGCCCCAGCGTCGATACGACTCATGGATAATGAGCAATTTAAATTTGGTGAGTTTTGTTTTATCATTCACAATATAAGCGAGACCGGGCTCTAAGCATTAAATAGTACTGCTGTCATTACATCTTGTGTGTGAACATTACTCTCATTTAAGCCATCTGAGTGATGTGTGGTGATCACTCACCGAGCAAGTAGGACTTTATCTGACCTGGTTTTCATTTTCAGGAAGTGTGTTTTTCTTTAGGAAATAAATGTAACCTTTGGCTTTGAACATATCACAGCAGGCATAGTTACTGTATGTAGTTATTTAGAGTTGAAAACTTCCTGTATTTATGGGTCAATATGTATGTATTTGTTTCATTGATGTGGGGAATACCTCTGAGAGAAGAACAATGAATGGCAGTGGTACAGCATGCAATGATTTTACCTTCAACAACACTGAATTGTTAAATTGATTATTATTTTTGTCACACACACACACACACACACACACACACACACACACACACACACACACACACACACACACACACACACACACACACACACACACACACACACACACACACACACACACACACACACACACACACACACACACACACACACACACAGCTGAAAAATTGAAGCAAGGTGAAAAATGACCCTGGTCAAAATTAAGTAGTTGTTACATTGAAGTTTTATGATGTTGTTTCCTAAGGTCTCGTGGAATGCATCTGGCATTGCCAGAGATCTCTGTAAAGTTCCCCAGTCTCCGGGGATCTCATTATCTCCCCTATATTTCCACTTTTCACAGAGTAGGCACTTCTTAGCATTAAGCAGGGAAGATGAAGCGACCAGGTTTTTCACTAATAACTAAAACTCATGGCTCTATGATACCTTCTTGGGCTTATTAGTGGCTTGTCCTCACTTTTAATCTTGTTGGCTGTTTAGTAAGAAGGGTAGATGTATTCACATTCTTCATCAGATTGGGACTACAAGTACAATTTAGCGCTGCCTCTCTTGATCCACAAGATGAAAAATGAAAAGGATGTGGTAAGTAGCAGCGTGTTGATATGCAAAGAAAATACCAAACCACAGATGGGAGAGTCAAAAGTAAAAATATGCACAGTGTAGGTATAATTTTCTCTCTCAGGATGTTGAGTATTTAATTAACAAGTATGATGGCTGCGAGAGACCCAAAGACCTGCAATCAAATTTTGGAATGGAAACAATTAGGACACTAAGTGATGAAGAGACTTGAGCATGGGGGGAAATAAATGAACTGTTAAGTCTCTGCGACATCACCCGTGACTTCGCCACAGTGATTGATAACCATCCCATTGGCCCCAGCCCCTCATTTTCGCTTGTCCACAGGCGCTTTTGTGCGTCCGATCAGAAATAAATCAAAAAGTGTGGGTGAGGAAGACGGATATCGCTGTGTCAACCCCACTTCCCTTCGGAAACCCTCTGATTTATAGTCGCTGTCGCTGGCAGCCACTGGCCAGTTGTAAAGTTATTCAAATGTTACCATTTATTTTTTCCTCCTTTTGTTTGAAACCCCAAATAAATCTGACTGGCTTGCCCTCTCAGAGCGCTGGAGGATGTAAGCTCAAGCAGCGTATGACTAATGTGTGAAAAGTCGGTCCACATCTTTGTGAACAGATGGAGCTTATCTTATATTTTCACAGGTCATGCCCTGAAGCCTCAAGTATCTTCCATGTTCACATCCTTTCTGGACGGCTTGAAGAAGTTTTACATCACCAAGGTAAACATAAAATAGACATGAATATCACCAGTTGCTTGGCTCAAGTGCTTTTAATAAAAAATTAATCTATTCTTTAATCACCAGTTCAAAGGGTTCGACCCGGACCGCCTGTGTGTGGCCACCCTGCTGTTTGAGGGGGGACGGGAGAAGGTCCTGCAGCACGAGAAGCAAGTTTATGACATCGCTGCCAAATTTGGGTAAGCCGTTTTATCTCTCTTAAAACAAAGCATGTTACAGAGGTCAGTTACAGATCCCGACCGTGTAAAGCGCAGAAATGACAAAGCATGGTGAGGCTTTGAACATAATGCCTGAAGCCCTGATGTCACTTTATTTAACCAGCCGTTATGTAGTAGCAGTGAAAAGGATGGAGAGGCACAGTTACACACTTCAGACGTGGTCTCCTACTCAGTAGTTTGTCTCTGTGTGAGTTGATGGATCACCTGTGGATGTCCTCCTGTCAGGCCAGCTTTTCTGTTAAAGTAGGTGTGGTGTGGGCGGGGGTGGGGGGGGCACAGCTCCCCTCAGGACAGCGCGGGGCAAGAAGACGCAGCCTGGGAGTGCTTGGCTGTTGTGATTGATCATTAAACGGATCAATGAGGACTTTGGTGGAAATCAGTTCCCTGTCAGCCGGAGAGGGATGCTCTCTCTATCCTCTGCCTGGTTTAGACCCACAACAATAAATTCATAGATGAGTTCATCCCAACATAAATTTAGTTGTGTGCCGTCCAACTTGTTCATTTATGATTCTGAGATGGCTCTGACGCTTCAACACATTGTTTTAAATGTGCACTGTTCGAAGCAATATGTTCTGCGCATAATCATGTTTTTTTATAAATGGAAAACATTCAATTGTTTATTTTGGATATAAGAAAAAAATTAAATTGGCGGCATTTTCCCCTACTTTTCTCTTTATTTTGAATTACCAGCAATTTTTTCAGTCTGCTTTTATCACCACTTGATTTTACTTGACTTTCTGGTCAATTATGTGGTCGACACCCTGTTGCTGCAAAAAAAACGGCTTTTTAGGAACAACCAGATTTTGTTTAACCTCACACTGATTAATGAGTTTAAACCAAATCGGTTCACTTTAACTTGAGAGTAAGTAAAAGGCAAAATATCAAGCTTTATGTAAACAGTGCATAGAAATAAACATGACGATGTTTATTTTAAGGATCAACTTTTTAAAAAGCCTTCCTTAAACTAAACATATAGATGTATTACTTATTAGTCAGAAACAATAGGTCATTACAAAACAGATTTAAACAGGGGACCAAGCAGAGCTGCTGCGCTCCCCACCGGCGTGTCAGTGATTTTTCTCCAGGGTAAATCTTATGGATTACATATTACTGTTGGTGTTATTCTCTGGCTCAGCGCCCAGACCTGCAGGTAGCTGGAGCCCTGCCCTGGTAACCGCCAGCAATTAAATCATAAGAAACTTGTCAGTTACATGCAGCATCCTCTGCTTTATTGCATTATTACAAATAAATTGTGATCAGCCATCAGATCAAGTGCCAGTGATGGATTGGTGCGGTTCTGTGAGGAATATTTTCTTGTGGTGTTGGGTAAAACAGGAAGAAGGGTGACAATCGATATAGTGATTTTCTAATGAGCATGGCCTGATTAGTTTGGGTGGTGGATGAAAATCTGATTACCCACTGCAGGTGATGGATGTGTGGCTGACCTGTGGCGATGCACCGAGCAAAGCTTCATTGATCTGAACATTGTTGGATTGACAGGCTCCCAGGCGGCTGTTGTGAGGCGAGCCGTCGGACCAACAAAGCTGAAAGAAAAGAGCTGTTAAATATTAACCCTGTTATCTTCTTCCAGGGGGCTGGCAGCTGGAGAGGACAATGGGCAGAGGGGCTACATGTTGACCTTCGTCATCGCTTACCTCCGGGTGGGTCACTCCTCTTGCTTTTTCTCTGTCTGCGCTGACGGGCAGGTGGGGCGGGCGGGATGGCGCAGGCTGACAGCAGATAGGATAGCGAACAACACAGAGAGGCGGCAGAATGCGACCTCGGGAGGTCTCTGATTTGATCTGGTCACAGTTGTTGTCAGGGTGTCTAACACTGAGGTATCTACACCATGAGGAGAGCACAGAGGCTGCAGTCAGAGGACAATGGAGAGTTGTCTGAGGTCAGTCCTGTCAGGGAGGCCTTTTGATCAGCACAGAAACAAGCAAGGAGTTTAAGTGCACTTATATAACATGGTGGCTCTCTGCTTTCTTTAGTCATATGCTTTCTTAAACTCAGCTGTTTAAATATATAAATGATAGCCTGAAATGTAGGCATGTTCTACCTTTACAAAATAGCTTTTCACTATAAACGTTCGCCTTTTGTTTACGCACTTTATTTTAAGCTACTGAAAACAAAGCTTTTGTAACGTGACGAGTTTCACAAACTCCATTTTCAAAGATGATGTGTAGAAATGTTGATGTGTGGACCGGATGGGTTTTAGAAAAGAGGAAAAAACCTGTGTTCATTCAAAAATAGGCTTCAGTCAATCATATATTTGCAAAGAGAAAACAATGCACCTATTACAGATTCTGTCCTCCTATTGTGTTATTTATCTAACTGCTCCAACAAAACCCAAACAAATAAAACAACAATTATTATGAATTAGTCGAAAGCCATGGAATCAAAATAAGGGTGGGGGTAACATCTGATTACCGGTTCATGTAGCTTTTAAAGTAATTGGGTTACTTAAGGGCTTGTAAACCTTTGTAACCTGATGTTAGCTGGTATCCTGGTTTCTTGTGATGATGTAAATGTACTGAATAACCATTAACAGCCTGATCTTGTTCTGTGAGCAGGACTTGGGGATGGAGTACTATGTGATCGGGGAGTCCTTCGAAACCTCTGTGCCCTGGGACAGGTAAACACCTTAATATGAGCAGTTTAATTTAAATCACATTTTTCTTTTCTCTCCTCCCACACAGTCAGTCCTCAGAGAGCCCTCTGTCTTCCTCCTGCTCCTGTTTCCCCTCCTTTCTTGTATTTCTCTTTGGCTCTCTTTGACATTCACCTTCAGGCCCCCCCCCCCACCTATTAACTGGCTTTGCGTTGGCGGAAGGTTCCTCAGCCTACAAACCCGCCATTACTGACACGCACGCACGCGCACACACACACACACACACACACACACACACTGAGAAAGAGCTATCTTATTGTGCGCTGTGTCTAAGAAATGCAATATTAGTCACATATTTATCCCACACCCACATGTGGTGTGATCTGCATTTTCTCCATGGTTTCATCATCATTTTGTCAGACATGCACACACAAGCAGGAACACACACAAGCAGGAGCACACACAAGCAGGAGCACACACAAGCAGGAACACACACAAGCAGGAGCACACACAAGCAGGAGCACACACAAGCAGGAGCACACACAAGCAAGAACACACACAAGCAGGAGCACACACAAGCAGGAACACACACAAGCAGGAGCACACACAAGCAGGAGCACACACAAGCAGGAAAGCACACAAGCAGGAGCACACACAAGCAGGAGCACACACAAGCAGGAAAGCACACAAGCAGGAGCACACACAAGCAGGAGCACACACAAGCAGGAAAGCACACAAGCAGGAGCACACACAAGCAGGAGCACACACAAGCAGGAAAGCACACAAGCAGGAGCACACACAAGCAGGAGCACACACAAGCAGGAGTACACACAAGCAGGCGCACACACAGCTCCGTGTTGTGTAACATGCCTGACGGGAGGGACCAGAGATCAGGCACTGAGGCGAGCATATGTGCCTGGCTCATTACGCCCCCCCCCTCTCTTTCCATCCTCCACACACGGCTGCACATGCTTCGGGCTGGCAGCCATTTCCCCAGCAGTGGGAACCTCTCCCACAATGACCGTCGTGTTAGTCTCCTCCTCTTCCTCTTTTCTGGCCCTATCCCTTTTTTTTTTAATCTTAATAATTTAGCATTGCTTGTAATTTTACTTGTAAGTAAGTATTGTTTTTTAAATGTACAAATACCACAGTTTAGATTGCTGTTGTGATACTTCAAAGCCATTTTACCATTCTGTTTTAAGGTGTTTATTAGTTTTTTTCCTAATTCAGGTTTTCTTTTTTATTCCCAGGGTGTTGGACATTTGCCGGAACGTGAAGGCACGCGTCATTGGGGAATGCAAAAACAAAGGAGTGCAGTTTCAACCGTTATCCACATGCAGGTAATGTTTGTAAATGTCCGTTTGAAAGCACATTTTGGTTAATTAAAAATAACTCCAATCTCCCAAGCCCTGGTATCATTAAACATTATTGGAGAAAAGTGCAGATAGGCAATAACTGAGGTTTGGTATCAACACTGGAAAACATTTGAACTTAAATATACACTTTTCAAATGTTTTTTTCCTACAAAACTCCTCTGAAATACAACAAAGTTCTCATATATTGAAGTTTAAGGCTGGCTTTATTTCTATATTTTTGTTATTGCCAATAAATCCCATCAAAAAACATCAATGTGTCAGACTTCATTTACATATCTGTGGAACTTTAATCCCATTTATTAATTTACCCCAGGCCTAAAGAATCTGAACAGACATTCATGGCCACCTTTCGGTACTGGAAGTCATCAAAACACAACATTTAGTTTGACCAAACTAATATTGAGGCTGTATACCCAGTACTACCCCGGACCCCTGGTGAGTTAGCAAAGCCACACAACCAGACAGACGGACCAACGGTCAGACGGACAAACTAACAAACAGACGGCGAGCCAGTCGAGGTGCACCGGGCTTCTGCTCTCTGATTGCGGACAGATTAGGCCTCAGCCTGATTATGCGACAGCCATTCATTTCCCGGCTGCAGTCTGTCACATGATTGATTTGTCCATTTAACCTCTAGAACAGTCAGTGTGCCAGGTGATGGGCCATGTCAAATGAACAAGGGCTCTGCACCGTGCTCCTCCACGGGGGAACAAGGCCAGAGACAGAGAACATGCAAATTAGAGAAGCATTTTATTCTCAATAAAATGTTCTTTGACACATTCCAGATGGGAGAATATAAGCTTCATTGTATTAGGAAGCAGACACACAAACACTTTATTTTACTGTGTAAAACAACAAACTGATAAAATGTTCTGTCCCGCATCAGTGAGTCATCCCGTTACCTGCAGCACAAATGTGGCTCAGATGATTCAGTAAAGCATTTGATGGCCATTTAATGTCTGATAATGTCACGTTATTAAAGGTGACAGTGCTTTCACGCTGCCTCCGCTTTCTAGAAACCATGAAAGGAATTGAGGTCAGGGGTTCACCAGGGAAAGCCATACCTCCCACTTAACTTTGTCTTCCAATTATAAGAAGAAAAAGCATTTATTGGATGAAAAGGGAACGATTTGACAAAACCCTGCTCTTTGTATTCATGTAAACTTGATTTTAAATGCTGAAGGAAACATTAAAGAAGTCTTTGCTGCTTGTGTAAACATGACTCTTTCTCCTACAGGGTGACTCAGACGTACGATACTGGTGCCTGTGTCTACTTTTACTTTGCCTTCAACTACAGGGGACTCAGTGATCCAGTACACGTGTATGAACAAGTGGAGGTATGACCAGTTACATTTATATCAACATTAACGCATGGTCCAGTCCTTCCATAGATCATAATTACATCTGATGCGTTGATGGGTTGGATTTCCAGCAAGTTGGAGAGTTCATTTCAGAATATTGTATTGTATAATATGAATAATTCTGGTCTTATATTTATTTTCCCCAGCGTGCAGCGAGAGAAGAGATCCTTGCCAATGGAGGGAGCTTGTCACATCACCATGGAGGTACTACAACGTGAATAATACAGAAAATATTTGGTCTGATTTGGCAAACATCATACAGTTGCACATCATTTTGCTCGTAAAATATTGAATGGGGTGTCATGATATTTTACCCTTCTCCTTGATTATAATTTGTGAAAAGAGGTTGCACTCAGAAGCACAGGCAGGATGGCGAGTTCTCCCTGTGTTCTCTTCCATGCTAGCGAGCCGACGGCCAGCTGTAAATGTGAATTTGGTCGGAGATCTTTCATCGCTTCCTTCACACGTCCAAAATATGTCCCTGCCGATGAATGGCTCTGACTCTGCTATTTGTTCATCTCAGCAGTGACCAAATGAAACGTGAGCATTGGGGGCGGTGGAACAACTCTCAGGGCCCCATCAGGGCTAACCGAAATGGCTGCCTTATCTATATTGCCATCCGCCTCGCTGTTTTCATACATCACTTCGGGCTATTCATCAACCTGTCAAAAACAGTATGCAGTGAATCAGCTGCGATATTAAATCACAATTTTTCCTGAAGGCAGGGACGGGTTCAAAATTAAAAGATTGCTAATAAAAAGGAGGCGGCGGGGCCGGGGTAAATGATGCCGCCGTTATCGCCGGCTGTATACTGACCTCCAAACGGTGGCCCAGCCACCCCGAGCAGCACGGGGAGGTGACAGGGGGGGGGGGGGAGGAGGAGGGGATATTGATGCAGCTCCCGCGTGCGGGGCCCACTCTGTAATTGTGATTAATAACAGTGGGCTTTGCTATCTGAGCGCAGACAGGCCGGTTTGTCTGCCCACAATCAGTGCTTGACAAATGGAGCTAGTTTCACTGGGTTTTGTGTATCAAACAAAACAGATGTAGTCAAGGATGGTGAGGTGGGAGGGCACCGCGGGAAATATACATTTTTGTGGCCCTGTATTTACAGCAGGTCAGTGTTGAGCTGCGTGGGCGTTGGTAAGGGAATCTGGGCGTGTAGAGCTCTTTCTCTGCGGGACATGATACTCAGCTATCAGCACCACGTGTTGACTGCTGTCCATCACACACATTTCAACTACTTGATTTGGAGTCAGGTTTATGGCTTACATGAAGATCTGGTATATGTGTGATTATATGCTGGATCTGAAAGCCAGCACGTTGGGAGAAATGTCCTCTTTAACTAGGTCACCAGTGTCGCAGCGGTGAAGAGTTGTTGAACATCCATCACCAGGAGAGTCATCCATCTATCAGCCAATACTCCGGCTCGGCCATATCACACGATGCAGGGCCGCTACCTTACCCTGTTTTTCAAGCCCTGACCCCCATTTGTCAAAGAAGCTTGGGGAGAGCGTGTAGAGGGGTCAAGGCTCAGCGGGGCCACTACAGTCTCCTCTGTGTGAGGGTCACCCCGGGGTGCCCAGCATCTGCACCTCACGTCGCCGCACTGCAAAACTCCAATCTCGCTAACTCTGCCAACCGCACCTCCACACAGGTCACTGCACTTAGAAAATAGAAAAATGACCTGATTCAGTGAAGTTCTTTTCTCCCTGTGCTTCCCTGAGCGTTTCCACACAAGAGAAATATGACACTTTTTAAAAAGAAATCTGTCATTTCTTGAAATAACTACCTGCTCTTCTTTGCATGTCTCAGCTGCACAGACCTAGTCTGGCGAGATTGATTGCAATAGCAAGCGAAAAGGAGAGAATATGACAAGATAGATGTGTAAATTATCACAGTGATGGAGGCAATGATGCAGTCCCAGCACCTTCTGTTTTCTCTCTGTTTCCTGAGAGGAGGGAGGGATGGAGGTGGGACGAGGAGGGAGGCCTGAAGAGGAAGAGGTTGTGGAGAGCGGGGTACTTTCTTAGTTATTGGGTAGCAGCTGATGGGTCCTTCTGTCACCATCTGGAGGTGTGTGTGGTACCAGAGCCCCCGGTGACCCCGCTGTCGGCCCTGTTTTGTCAGGGGACGGGCCTCCCTAGCCTCATGGCTGATCCCCATCTGGGCTTCCTGGCTGGACCCTCATCACAGGCCTTCCCTCAACATGCCCTGTGAACACTGGAGCTCCCCAAACCGGTGATGCAAAGAGAGGCGTACAGAGAGCGGAGGAAAAGCCTGTGAACATTCCCGTTATACACCGCTCTTTGTTTAGACCTCCCTATCTAATCTCAAGTGATTACACTGCTGCTTTCAAGTGTTTACTCGGCGAGCAGCACCTGTTCTGAGCTGCTCTGTTCTCAAATTTATCTTTTGAGTTTTGTGATATAGATATCGTGTTTCTTTTAAGTCGACACGACCCCCAAAAGTACAATTAACCCTGCTATCATCGGACATATTTAAACGTTTCCTGCCTTTTGTGTTACTTCCATCGTGTAGCGTAAAGTCCTTTATGAAGGCCCTTTGCTTTTTCTCCTATATTCTTTTGATAAAGACTAGTTTTCTCTGTTAGATGTTCAAACTTCCAGCTGTGCAGTGGTATTTAAAAGTGCATCAGTCCAAGATAAATTAGGATGGCACTTAAATCTGCAACAGTTCATTCAATTATCAATTCGTATTTTTTGGGGTATATGTGTTTTAGTTAAAAATAAATGACAAAATGAGCGCAAACTAAAAGATATAGAAAATTTGAATACCCTACTATTTAAGGATTTTGCTATAAAAAACCTTTCATTTCGGAATATGTAGCATAATACTGCAGGGCCCATTTAGTAAGTGAGTAAGTTGTACCTTAGTGGTTCAACGACCTCAACATATTTCCAAAAATAAAAAGCCCAAAGCCAAAATGACACTGAGTGAGTCTGAGGCTCTGATGCCATGGGCTGTTGTCCTTGTGTGTCATTCTTCTCACCCCCTCTGCATTTCTTTCTCTTTCTCAAATATATAAAAAAAAGAAAAACTCAAAAATGTTCAAACCCTCCCCATCTGCAGAAAGCTCAACATCTATTTCAATTTACAGATTTTGGCTAATGAATTGCTGAAAATCAAAGTTTCTATTTTATTTGAAGTTTTCTAACAATAGTTTGGCTCTCCAGTGAGGTTTGCCCAGTCCTCCGCAGTCACCAGACCTCTCGCTGGCTCCAGACTCTCCGCTGAGAACCTGTCGGGCACAGGCGCCGTGGAGGATGTCGGAGTGGACAGCTGGAGAAGCAATGGGCACCCTCACTAGGCCTGGTGCCACCGCCTCCCTCGCTCCTCAGGTTGGGGGTTTTGGAGGATGGAGGGTGTAGAGCGGCTGAAAGCCAGAGTCCTGCTGACAGAGGGCCATTGTGTGGGTGGCTCTGGCCCCCTGGTGGTGATCGGGCCGGTGTCAGAGGGCGCCGAGCGGCGTTCAGGACAAGAGAGCACAACACGCCTCACGGGTCAGCCAGAGGAGCGTGCTCGTGTGCACAATGAGACAGAAACACACAGACAAACACAGACAAACGCTCCAGCAACTCTGGAGGGAGGGGGGGGGGGGGGGGAGCGGTGGCTCAAAGAGCGAGGGAGCCGGGGACGGCCCGCTACAGCCGCCAGCCGCCAGCCGGCCCCTCCTCTGGGAACACACAGAGCCTAATGAGTTTGATAGTCTGCTGAGCTCCATAAATCATGCCATGCAAAACATTTCTCCTCTCTGAATAAAAGCATTTATCACCCTCTGTTTATTCACTCACTCTCACAAGATTGATTGGCTCCCAGCAGCCCGCTGAGCAATCAGCCGTGCCGATTCCTCTATTTCTCCCCCTCGGTCCTCTTCCTTCAGTTTGTTTGTTTATTTATTTATTTTCTCTCCTCTGTCATTCAGTGGGAAAACTTCGGAAGGAGTGGATGAGAGAGACCGTCTCCGATGTCGGCATGGGGATGCTCCAGTCTGTCAAGGACTACGTGGACCCCAAGAACATCTTCGGAAACAGAAACCTTCTCTAAATTCCCCGCTCACCTTTATCTTACCTTTTTCTAAAAAAAAGCATCTTGTGCATCTTGGGATTAATTGTTACTAAATGTGAACTAAAAATGCACAGACATTTTTCATCAAAAGTGTCAATCAGTGCCATTTATTGATTCACCAAAACCTTTTATTTTACGTTATATTGCACTAAATATGCTGTAGCAATCATCCTCACTCACGGTGAAGATCATCTTGCTGTTTAATCACTGCCTCAACTTGTTGTTGGAGCTACAGCCATGATGCAACAAAACCTTTTATTTGTTGTCATATTTTCTTACGCATTTCCTAAATATTCTTGCCAACATGGTTAATTCTTCTGTTTGTTTTTACTTTCGTGTGTGAGTGTGTGTGTTTGGCACTTCTTTAGTAAGTTCTAAGTGAATGCACTTTCTAAAGCTTTTGTCTGCCTTCCCCTTGTCCTACGAAACACTCTACTGAGTCGCTTTGTGAAGCAGAATGAACTCGGACATGATGTTTTCCGTGTCTTGCCCTCATGCCTTCTGTTGTACTGACCTATTGCCATAAGAGACATTTTCTGTAAGTGACTGTAAGTGTGTGCCTCTGCCTCCTAATTTTAACAGAGCCCCCCTTTCTAGAAGTACAGTGAGATTACAAAGAGAGATAATCCTTGTGTGTTTAGTTTTTTGTATTGAGAGCGTTTACCTTTATCGTGGAGACAGTGAAGTGGGGGGGGGAAAGCCATTGCGTTTTTCCATCACACCTGATTCAATGTGACCCCGTTTGCAGTTTAAGGCCTCTGGATCCCGGTGCTCACGTCGTACCAAAGACTCAACAGATCAGATCATGTAAACGTTTTAAATAACTTCATGCACAGCTGAACTATATTTTTTAATCAACATATGCAAAGATAACCCTTCTGAAAGAAGTAAAAATGTAGATATTTGTTATATGTGCTAAACCTTTCTACATCATGTTTCTTATGTTTAAGACACTGTATTGAATCATATCTGCTCCATACAGTAGAATGGCCCAGAAACGCATATATTTTCCCTTGTTACTGTACTGTGTAAAGGTTTTGGGATGGATACTGTAATGTGCTACAATTTGATACTAGACTTGTACCATTTGTAATTGTAAACCAATGATTTGGAAGCAACGTAAAGCTGTAAGAAAGCAGTTTGCTGAGAAATCTCGCCTTTTCCCCTTTCTGATCTATGATTTGCATTCTCCTGAACCATCGTCCTTTTTAATCCATAATATTTCCCAAGATAAAAGGACTCATTAGGGACCTGTCATGTGACGTTTTACCTGTGTCAAAAAAACGTGAGCTTTTGAACGTTATGGATGTACCTTTTTGTTTTTGTTATTTTCCACTTCCTCCTAACAACGTCATAACAACCGAGTACATTTTGTCTATGCTGTTCGTGCAATAAATTGAACTAAAACATCCCATTTGTTGCATTTTTCTTTCACATATGTACAACCCTGTTCATAGAGCAGAACTCTGCCCCTCTCATGAATCATTTCTAATAGCAGTTTTATTTATGTTGTCAGACGGTGCTAAGAGGGTCAACAGGAACCTGAGAGCAGGTTTTTGTTTCCTCTACCTGCGACACTCAGAGCTCAAGGTAATCCAGCTCAGAAGACACTGCCTGTCTTTTGCTTTCTGACTGGAGGATTTTTTTCTACACACAGGCTCATTTGGGAGTCATCTTCACCCACACAGCCGCCCACACACTGCCTGCTGACGTCAGCGCCACCTATCAACAGCTATAGAGCTCAGCCTTGGACGATGAAATGCACTGCAGTTATCACTTTCTGTGGCTCCATACAGAGGAGTGTGTGGAGGAATACAGCAGTTAAAATCATCACTGGAAATGTAAAGAGTTGATAAATATGGTTTCCAAATGTATATTTATAATGTATATTTGAGCAGTTCTTCATAATTTTCTTTAACTTTCTAACATGGCCGCATCATTCACTATTTTTTTCAATTAAATGTGCGCATACCTGAAGTATTTGATTGATACATTTCATGTGTAAAGTTACATTTGTCCACATGAGGTCAGCACTGCACTGGGGAAAATCATGGGGAAAAATAACTGTAGCCTACTGAGCAGCAAAATCAATGGTGGAGAAAGTATTAAGGTCCTTTATTTAAGTAAAAATAGCAACAAGCATTCAAAATGACACTGAAGTAAAATAATGTTTTATACAAAAATTAAAAATAACAAAAAGAATATTTTACAAAAAAGCTGTCTGCAGGAGGCTCCACTACATGTTATAAAAATATTTTAAAAATGTGAGCAGAGAGGTGCTGGTGCAGTCAGACCCGGTTGGCGCTAAGTGAACACTACATAAATTCACAACAATGCAATCAAATTAAAGATCACGTCCTTGTGGGGTATGTTATTGTTAGCTTGGCATAGGTTGAGAAAGTTAAATCTACCTTAATTAATCACTGATTTAATGCACCACCCAGCTCCCTGCACGAGTGACCTAAATCGAACAGATCCAGGAATCTGCTCAGGACATCCTTTAGCTAACATGCTAAATACCTGGAATACGGTAGCCTAGTCTAAACAATTAAGTAATTTTGAAATTAGGCTGAACATAGCGGCTATGTTCAGACATAGCCATACATTCGTTTAAATTAAGTATGGTACATTTTAAGTACATACATGCAAACTAATAAAGTTAACCACAATTTCACTGGATTTTATGAGTTTTTGTATATTAAATGTTGTTTCAATAAAGATTGTAAAAGAAAAGAAGCTAACATGCTATCATGCTAATGGTGGAGGAACTTTAAGCTTCAGGTTTGTGAGGACTTTTCTGCTGTTTAATTAATACTGCTAACCTGAATCAGCTCAACATGTTTGATAACTTTCAGGTCCACAGTGGGACAGAGAGGCTGACTGCACTGTTTTTATTACACTTTGATGATAAACAAGCAAAGAAGTTGAACCTGGAGCAGATTGGGGAGGACTTATTGGTGCACAATGCTAACAGTATGACGTCCAGACACGTGAGTACAACAACACACTGACTGACCTATCGATGTATACCTTCCTATACAGATGACAGCAAAACGCATAGTTTTGTAACACATAGCAGTTGTGTGTGTGCATCTCTCTTTTGTTTTAATGAGGGTGTTAGCAGCAGTTGTACTGTACAGTTTATTTTGTATGTTATGTCCGCATTGGTGATGTTCTTCATCAATGTGGCCTAGAAATGATTGATGCACCTGCCATGGTGTCAATAGACGTTTTATGTAGCCTATTGTCGGCCATTTGTAGTTCATTTTAGTAAGGCCACATTAAGTTGCCGTCATTAAATATGTAGTCTGTTGTATGCAACTTGTGTCTAAAGAAATTAAATGTACTGTTGGACTGTACGTAGAAATTGGGCCCAATGCAGTCTATTCTGTGGCCAATTGTGTTGTTAATTTAACAGTGGTATCATATGTCATCTCATAACTTTATTTAAATGTGAAACTGTAATGTTTATTTTACACAAATACATTTAAAGCAATACACTATACAGTTATATGAGATGTATATTTAAGTAGGCCTTCTATCTTGGTCCCTGGTTGTGGGTAAGGTAGAGCTAATTTTAAAATGTTATACACTGTTGGGTATTTTGAACAACAAACATTCCTCAGTTTGAAATTATCATCAAATGTTTTGTATTTTAGATCAATATTTAAAGTAACCAACAATAGTTATCTCTTAATTGTGGTGTAGTAGTGTACAGTAGCATGAAGTGGAAATACTCAAGAAAAATACAAATATCTAAAATACTTGTGTAAAAGTGTCAGAATAAACCAGAGTATATGTAGCAGCATATTTTTATTTAAACTCTGAACATAAACATTGCACATTTGCCTTTTCATGCCCTAGATTTCTTTCAGTCTAGCCCGCCATAAATAAAATGAGCGTCCAAACTGGGAGAGGAAAGAAGAAATACAAGAAGCACGGTACGTTGCAAATTAGACTAAATAGATGTTTGGAGACCTTATAGAAAAATAGAACAGCAATATTCATAACTCACGTAACATAATGCAATAGAATTTAAATCATGCATTTCCAATGAGATAATGTGTTTACTGATGAAGTTCAAAGGACGAGGTATTTGTCGGCTCACGTTTGCTACATACTTAGCAAGTGGTTGAATTTAATACTGCATAAAACATGCAATTTAAATGTTTCTGATCAACTTCAATTCAGCTCTTTAACCAAAATAAAGTAGAGCACATAGATCCATGCCACACAATGTGCACAGTCACGTTTTTAAACTCCAATTAACAAAGCTACAACACAATTCATAAGGCATAACCACAACCCTAAAATAATACTAATATTAATAATGATAATAATATCAAAAATAATAGCTCATGACTGCATGGGCACTTCATTACTACCAGTTTTAGTGTCTCAGTCTCCTTTTTGGAAATTATAAAATCTGTTTAAGTAGCATTTGTGAGCTTTGTGAAAAGGACAGCAATCCGATTAAAGCAAATTCTGACATTTTTGGAAAAACATTTTGCGGAAAGTTAGGTAAGAGGATACCACTTTGAAAAAAGCTAAGCATGAATAATAAAGACTGGAAAGAGGAAGTAACAGTCAGCCTGACTTTGTCCAGAGGTTACAAAATCCTCCTAGCAGCACATCTGAAGCTCTCAAATCAAAATGTTGTATTAAGATTATTTAATGTGATTTGTAATTTGTGTCTGACTCAGTTCTAGATTCTAACTTTTTGCTGAACAACCAGAAGAAAGTTACATGTTCTGGCAAAGAGTCTGTCACACAACCCTGTTATAAAACAGTATGCTTAGTTTTTTGTTCAGATTAAACAATAATGAATTAATGAATTAGTAAGTTTATAGATGCTGGTTGACAAATTGAATTTCCTTTGGACGGAGCCAGGCCAGTTGTTAATGGCCTGGTCACCGCGACTGAATGTAGCTTTATTTATCATATAGGTATCCTCTTATCTTAGCGTGTTTCTTAAAATGTAGAACCCTTATTAAAAAAAATCTTAATGTGTCTAGTCTCAGTATTAAATCAGTTGATGAGATTTCTGCAAAAATGAATTGATATCAGTACAACTTCATCAAGGCACATTGTGTGTGTTTGTGTGTGTGACAAGTGAGACCCTGCATTTATAAAACTGGGCAAAATAGATTTCTATATGTATATACTGTTGATGATTTGTGGCTAATATGGGATCAAAACATAATTGCAGTCATTGGTTTTTATAAATTATGGCATAAAACATGTCATGGTTCAACATGGATTTCTATATCTAACAATCTTGGTGAGGAGGCCATGCATTTTTCATTAGGATCATAAAACAAGGCACAGGGAGGGAGGGAGCGGAGACTCAATTTGCATTGCAAGCACTGTCACAGGTCCTGCACCCCTTTATCCTTCAGCAACTCTACAGCCACATTACAATCCAGAGCTTACATGTTCTTAAACAGCACTTGTAAATAACTTAATAGCCTATATACAGATCTACAAAAACTATCTCTGTTACCCCGGGCAAAATGCGAGCAACGAGGAGGTACTGAGATAAAACGAACCACATCAGAGACAAACTCTCCAATATTCTCCATGCTTTGGAAATCTGTGCAATGCCCAGAATAGTTAGTGTTAGCTCACTGCTTGACATGTTGACACAGTGGTTTCCTTTTCTGACGTGGTGTCATCAGCTGATTGGTAGCTGCTTCAACAAGCTCGCCAAACACAGCTCTGTCAGCCTCCAGCTCAGGAAGACTGAAGGGAGCAGAAAAACCTCTATGATAGCGCCGCGCTCAAGTCTAAAGCCCATCTCTAGCAGCAAAAGCGAAGAGGAGCAGAGCCCAAGAACCTCTGCATGCACTGCACTGCCTCTGTTGCAGGCTGCATTTAAGAGGGAGTAAAAGCCAAAGAGATCAGCTGGAGATGGCATCAGGAGCTAACTAACGGGTTTAGATGGTGTGCCGTCAGCATCTCCGCTGCAGCAGGGCGCCACCGTGCAGCCGCTCGTCTCTGTGCTGTCTCCACTGCAGGAGCTCGAGGGTGAAGAAACACTTTGGCTTCTCTGTCTTTTCTTGTTCAGTTCCTCCCAATTGGCCCTGTTAGCTTTGATCATGTCAACCATCGGCTGAAGTTTGGGATTCAGCTTGACAAGAGTCTAGAGGGAGAGAGAGGAAGGGCAGAAAGATGACAAGGGGAAATTACAGATGAAATATAAAGACTAAAATCATCATCAGCATTAGAAGCAGTTTGGAGTTCTACATTTGTGAACAACATTTCACAAAAACCCATCTAATTGTTGTTGAGGTATTTTAAAATCATTACGATGGTTAGAGGAGCAACTCAGGATTCTTATGATTCTTATGGAAGCCAATATAGGGGACAATTATATGTTAACTCACAAAAAATTCACAAATGGCATTATACC